AATCGAGACCAAGTTCCAACATGCCCAGGTCAGTACTTCAATTCTAGAAATATTGTGATAGTAAAATAATATGAGGTAGAATCAGGCAGCCAATTACCTTTCTGTTAAGCATAAACAAATAAAGAACATGATAAACAAATAAGGTAAATTCTTTCAGCATCTTTTCTTATCCCCATGTTACTGTGTATTTAAATAATTATATTGTTTCAATAATTCAAGTAAAACATTGATGAAACTATAAAGTAAGTAATTGTTTATCACATTGCCATTGTTCAGCATATGTCAAAAACTTACAACCTTAAAACTTTAACAACTACTTTACTGTATCATTCCATGTAGTATATGTGTTGTTACATTGGATTGATCTCTTTATTCTATACATGGTCCACAGGCTTGCTTATAAGAAGTTTTATAAGAACTATACAATTTTATAAAGATAAATTCCTTCTTAGAAGTAACTTCATGATTCGATATGGAAGATTTATGTGTTAATGTATAAAACTTATCATTTACAATATATATACACAGGTACACCCTGGTGAGATGGTGGGAGCTTTGGCAGCGCAGTCTCTCGGTGAACCAGCTACACAGATGACACTGAACACTTTCCATTACGCTGGTGTGTCTGCCAAGAACGTAACACTTGGTGTACCTCGTCTGAAGGAGATCATTAACATTTCGAAGAAACCAAAAACTCCGTCACTGACCGTTTTCTTGATCGGACAAGCTTCAAGAGATGCTGAGAAAGCCAAGGTAAATTCTTTACTATAGATTTATATCAAAAATGATTCTTTGACAAGCACTTAAGCAATTTATGCAAAATTCATGCTTTAAAAAAACAACAAAAAAACAAACTTATTTCAAATTATGTTTTGAATACTGAATACAATGTCACCTTAGTGCAATAACTGGATAACTCCTATTGATTTTAGAAGAACTTACTCTGTTCCTGCACTTAAATGACGACATGTCCGAGCTTTGGTTCGATATGGGTTTATAATCATCATAAATTGGCCTATGTTTCAGTCTTTAAGCACCATATTTAGTAAATAATGTGAATGGTAGTAACATTTCTCTGTATCTACTTACAGGATGTATTGTGTAGACTAGAACACACAACTTTACGTAAAGTCACAGCAAACACCGCCATCTATTACGATCCCGACCCACAGAACACGGTGATTGCCGAGGATCAGGAATGGGTGAATGTGTATTATGAGATGCCGGACTTTGATGTGTCGAAGATTTCTGCCTGGTTATTGAGAATTGAGCTGGATAGAAAGAAGATGACAGATAAAAAATTGACTATGGAACAAATTTCTGAGAAAATCACTGCTGGTACGAGATTCTGTATTATTTGAGTTATAGAGTTCATTTTACTGTGTATACTAGAAAGAGGATCGGGGGATTCACTCATATTTTTGAGAATTCCCCCCTATTTTTTCAGAGGCACAGGGGAAATTTTACATAGAGAAAGAAGGAAAAAGATCAACAAATGTAATAAATTAGATAAAAATCCCCTCTGTTTTTCGAATCCTAGAATAGACACTGATTTTATCATTGATTTAAGCTTTACTTATCCTTGTTAAAAACATGAGACTAAAGAAATTTTGAATGGGCTTGTAGAAGTGCTCTGTATTATTTAACAGTACCTCCTAAAGTGTATACATGTAATTGTGTGTGGGGAATATAATCATACTAAAACTATTGATTACTTTCAGGTTTCGGTGATGACTTGAACTGTATATTTAACGACGACAATGCAGAGAAGTTGGTGCTACGTCTTAGAATTATGAACTCTGAAGATAGCAAAACACAAGATGTAAGTCCTGACTTTTATGCTTGTATTATTGTTCTACATATTATTATAACTATGTAAACTCGTATTATTGTTCTCCATATTATAAGAAACTTGATAAAGAAAGCTAAAGACATGAAAACAAAAACGAAAAGACATTTCATCATATTTAGATAATGTTTTACAAATATAAGGAGGCAACCATGTGGAAGCTCTGTCAACTTTTTTTTAGCCTTGCTGCGGGTGTCAACTTTTTTTTTTGCCTTACTGCGGGGTCAAAGGACATATACTGAGGCCATCCTTAAAAAAATGTTTGTTTGCAGTAACCCGACCCAGAATTTTCAAGGTGGGTAGGTAGGTCGATTTTTTTTTTTTTTTTTTATTGAACTGTACTCCCAAATTAAGATGGAATTTCAAAATGCTGAACAATATATGCTTTGATAATCTAATTCTATGCTTGAATTCTAATTTAATAAGACCTACATTTTATTTCTTCTATTAACCTTTAAAAGAACGAAAACAAAGCACAAGGCATAATTTTCTGATTCAAAAAAAAATTTTTTTTATCCAGACCATGAAAAAAAAAATTTGAGTAGGGGCAAATTTTGTGAGTCGGTCGCGTTACTGCAAACAAACATTTTTTTAAGGATGGCCTGAAAATTAAAGAAATAATAACCTGTTGGTATAATAGTGACATGTTAAAGAAATCATAATCAGCATTATTTATGGCATGTTGAAAAACCTTCAATCTTTTCTACTTTCCACTGATTAAATACTTCTTAAACTGAGAGGTGTTGTTTGAAGAATGTATGAGATGATGTTATTATATAATGATTACATTTGATATAACCAGGAGGAGGAAGTAGCAGACAAGATGGAGGACGATGTATTCCTCCGATGTATAGAGTCCAATCTTCTCTCTGATATGTCACTACAAGGCATTGAGGCTATTGCTAAGGTAACAAAAAAAAAGCTTTCAAGCTTACTACTCAATCCGTACTATTTATTATTTGTCAATTATCATGTAAATGTAATACTTATAAATAAAATATTGTTTAAACTAAGGTAACAAAAATATATTTTCATCATTAAAATTCTCTATTGTGAATGATAATTTTCCAATTTTGCAGAACGAATACTTTCACTGATGTATTGTTTTTGAATTGCCCATGAGTTTTGGTAAATAAGTGTATGTTATAACCTGATATGAATGTTGCATTGTTCCTTATGCAGATTGATTTGTTTTGTTTTTCCAAGCATGATAGTGAAAATCATTTTGACATAGAAATTCAGAATGCACAGGTCAAATCGGTGACAAAGATTGACTAGATTTGAAATGAATTGTTTATCTATTTCTGAGCATATTATTTTGTTTACGATGATAATGATATCGACATTATTGCAATTTGTTTGTTAGAATACATTTGATACAAGTATTACTTGTTGATAAATGGATCTGAAAAGTATGAATAAAATTTAAAGAAATACTTCTTTGAAATTTGATATAGATAAGTCTGTAGAATGAATTGCTAGTGTTTGTTCATATGGAAAGGTACGGGATACAAATATTTTAAGGTTTTATGTATATTTTACAACAGGTGTACATGCATCTCCCCAACACTGATGATAAGAAGAGAATCTTTATTACCGATGAAGGAGAATTTAGAGCCGTAGCTGAATGGATTCTCGAGACAGATGGTACGTCGTTGACCCGTGTTCTCAGTGAACGAGACGTCGACCCAGTGAGAACTACAACCAACGATATTGTAGAAGTGTTTGCTGTATGTATCATTTCCGATGTTTATACATTTAGTTTTAGGAAATGAATTGAATATAGAGTGTTTCCATTCAAATGTGTTTGATGTGTTGAACTTGCATGCCTGACTGATTGATAAGCATTGGTTTAAGGGAAAAAAAACATAAGATGGGATTACTCATAGAGTAATTTAAAGAACAATGTAAAATTTAATAATTTGTCATTTTAAAGTTGTTATCTGAAACCAAGCAAATGTAGATTTTTCAAAGCTAATTCTCCAGTACAAAGAAAATTTAACTGTTATAGCTTCACAGTGCACTACCGTTTACTATAGATTAGCCAACCTGATGCTCTTAATTTCGAAGTTGTAATTTTAAATGTTTGTACCACCGGATTAGCTTGGAAAACTCAAAATGTTCTTTTCTCCAGCGTAAGTCTATTTAAAGGATATGGCAAAAAAAAAGAATCAAGGTGATCTTCCTAGTTTTATAGTTGACACTTAAACTTCATCTAGATATTTGTTTAAATGTTTGCTTTAAATTTAAAACAGACACTGGGTATAGAAGCTGTACGAAAGTCCATTGAGAAAGAAATGAACCATGTCATCTCTTTCGACGGTTCGTACGTCAACTATCGTCACCTGGCCTTGCTATGTGACGTAATGACAGCTAAAGGTCACTTAATGGCCATCACACGTCACGGTATCAACAGACAAGAAACTGGTGCCTTAGCTAGATGTTCCTTTGAGGAAACTGTAAGTTTTGTATACCAATAAAAGTAGTTGTAAGCTTTGTTATGTTGTGTTGTTTAATATTTAGTAAAGATATTTGAATGAACTGCAGGGATTTTTGTAAAAAGCACTTTGTGTTGCATACAGTTTCAAGCAATAAGATAAATGTATAAGATTGAAAGCTGCTTTTGTGACCTCCATGGCTGATTGGCAAAAGTCTTTTGAGTTCTTTTGTGCGAGACAGATCTACTGAGGTGCCAACTTATAAAATAAATAATGCATTGAAGAGCACCTGAGGTCTACCTCCACAATGATCACCAGTGGTGTGACTTAAACACCCTAAATAGAAAAAAAAAGCTACTTGGTTTATAGTCGAAGATACATTATATATTGTAGTTTCAAACATTTTATGAAGCTAAACATGATGATTCTGAGGCTTGTACTTTATTGTAAGGATACAACTGTTGTTAATGAGGCTTGCTTTTTGCTTCTTTTCATCATTTGCATTACTGTAAAACATCTTCAAGTAATTAAAAGGGAGATTATACGTGATAGTTATGCTGAACTGTTAAATATAATTTAAGGTTGATATTTTGATGGAAGCAGCAGCCCATGCCGAGCATGATCCTATGAAAGGTGTATCGGAAGCCATTATGTTGGGACAGTTAGCTCGTATTGGTACCGGATGTTTTGACCTACTTCTAGATGCGGAGAAATGTAAATATGGTATGGAGATACCGACTAATGTAGGAGCTGGCATGATGGGAGGAGGTGAGATTATTATATCTGTTTCCTTATCTATAACTGTAACTGGAATGTTTGATTTGAAACAGCTTACCTTTAGTGGTCTTTTTGTAACATTGTAATTTGGAATATAGTCTATATACTTGGCTAAATATGCAAGGTTGATAACTATGAATTATTTCACCATTAAGTGTCGATTCCTGCTAGAGGTGGTTAATTATCTTTAACTTATTTGAATGCTTACCATTCATCTGTTTATGGTTTTAGTGGGGTTCTACTTTTGTGTTTGAACCTGCCTCGGCTTAATATAGATTTTCTACTGTTTAATCTCGATAGTGTGAATTAAACTTGAAATCAAAACCCAAAGATAAAGTTCAATTTGATAAAACGGAGGTAATTTATGTTAGATTTCTCGCTTTTTATGTAAAAAGCCACTTTATTCTGTAATTCAGTATAGAATGTCATTATTTTGATTTAATTTTCAGTTGGAACAGGAATGTTCTTTGGTGCCGGAGCCAGTCCTACACAGGGTATGTCACCTCAGATGACTCCATGGCAACAGAGTGCTACACCTGGATACGCCAGTGCTTGGTCACCTGGTATTGGTAGTGGTATGACACCAGGTGCTGCAGGTTTCTCGCCTTCCGCTGCTAGCGAAAGTGGATACAGTCCGGGTTACAGTCCAGCTTGGTCACCACAGCCAGGTTCACCCAGCTCACCCTCCAGTCCATACATACCAAGTCCTAGAGGAGCAATGTCGCCAAGTTATTCGCCGACTTCACCGTCGTACATTCCAAGTTCTCCTGCTATGTCGGGTGGCGGAACACCACAAAGTCCAGGTTATTCACCTACAAGCCCGTCATACAGTCCAACAAGTCCTGGATATTCACCAACGTCACCAAATTATAGCCCAACTTCTCCCTCTTATTCACCAACAAGTCCTTCATACAGCCCAACAAGCCCATCATACTCGCCGACATCACCGTCGTACAGCCCAACATCACCAAGTTACAGTCCAACAAGTCCAAGTTACTCCCCAACATCCCCAAGTTACAGCCCAACTTCACCATCCTACAGCCCAACTTCCCCTTCATACAGCCCAACAAGTCCAAGTTACTCCCCAACAAGCCCCTCTTATTCACCAACGTCACCAAGCTACAGCCCAACATCTCCGTCATACTCCCCAACATCACCAAGTTACAGCCCAACAAGTCCTAGTTACAGTCCTACAAGCCCAAGCTATAGCCCAACTAGCCCTAGCTATAGCCCTACAAGTCCAAGTTACAGCCCAACATCACCAAGTTATTCACCATCTTCACCCAACTACAGTCCATCTTCCCCGTCATACAGTCCATCAAGTCCTAGCTACTCGCCCAGTAGCCCTAACTACAGTCCAAGTAGTCCAAGCTATTCACCAAGTAGCCCTAGCTACTCACCGAGCAGCCCTAAATATAGCCCACAGTCGCCATCATACAGTCCAACAAGTCCTAGTTACTCGCCGTCTAGCCCCAAATACAGCCCAACATCTCCAAGTTATTCTCCAACGAGTCCAAGTTATTCCCAAGTTCTCCACAATACAGTGTTACATCTCCCTCGTACAGTCCAGGCTCTATTAGTGACAGGGGCTCTCATAAGTACAGCCCCAGCTCACCACAGTACAGCCCAACTTCCCCAGCATACTCCCCATCAAGTCCGCAGTATTCACCCCCAGCAAGTCCATCGTACAGCCCGTCAAGTCCCCAATATTCCCCAGCCTCCCCATCGTACAGCCCGTCAAGTCCCCAGTATAGTCCATCAAACACTGGGTATACACCGACAACTCCGAAATATCCCCCGACTAGTCCGACATATAGTGCTGCAGATGATGATAGTGACATGGAATAAAGTTTTGTATATTCGTCATCACTTTAAACAGCATCAGTGTATAATAATAGTTCATTATTATCATCATCTTGACACAGAAATGGGCTACTTCAAAATGTCAAACAATAACATTGTGTTACATTGTGTTTAAATTATGGCAGAAGTTTCAAGGATACTTAAATCTTGGACACATATCATCATTATATAGTGTTGGAATATCATATGACTTGATGTTGACATTGAAATTGGATAAGACTTGTGTATATACTTCATCACTTTAGACAATAATAATGTATATATATAGAAGAGTTACTCTGTAAAATCAAACAGAATTTTGGTAGAAGTCTCGGGGATTTTTGCGCCTATGACGATGATAGTAATAGTCCTTGGAAAGTTTGTATGAAAAAAGTCAAAGGGATGAAATAACTGTACATACAATGTACATGTATTGTGTAAATAAGTGTGTAATAAAGGCATGAGAAGAGGGATATATTTTTAAGAGAAGACTAAATAGTGTACATGAATATATTTTTATTGTACATTTTAAAAGATGGAAGTGTGAATGATTTGTACATGTGTATAAATGTTTTGAGGTTAGAAATAAGTTCGTATAAAATGTGCTTTTGTTACAAGAAGTACATATGATACTGCAGTGTGTGTGTTACGTTTTAAACTTGAATCGATTCATATGTATACTACATTTTGTAATTATGCAATATTTTGTGTAAAGTGTTAAGTACTTGCTATGCAATATTTTACTTACATAGATACATTTCATCCAAAGGACCGCAAGTTATAAATAACTTAGTATATGAATGTTGGTCTTTATTGTCTTCTTTGTATACAAGTAAATAGTGTTTTGATGCTATTACATTGTATTATTTATTGTACAAAAAATTAATAAAACAGATTTTGTTACCTTGATAATCGATGGGTAATGAATTTAGTTACATGTACAAAGTTAATGCTTTGTATAAGGTAAATATAAAGTGAATGGGTCTGAATGCCTTTTTGTCTCATGGGTCTGAATGGCTTTTTGTCTCATTATTTAGATTACAAGTTTTCAGATTTTTTCATGTACAGTCAGCACTTTATATAATAAATAATGTTATAAACGTTAACTTTAAAAAAGTGCAAAATTTCATTTGTATATATTCATAATACATTCTATCATTTTTGATTTCATTATTACCATTGTATATTATATCATTTCATTTGTAATGGTGAATATCATTTATTTTCATGTTAATCATGTGTTCACAGTCATGTGCATAAATAATGATCTAATACAAAACATTTGTCAGTTTTGTGGAATTATTTTTTTTGCTCTTTTTTCAGTTTATATACTTTTGATTTATTTTCATTCATGTAAGTAATGTTTTATACAAAAAAAGGAAACAATTTAAAGTTTTGATCATCTGCATATAAAAAAGTTCTTTAATTATCATTTATCATGAAAATTTGGGTTAAAACATTTAAAAAACGTAATAAAAAAAGATCTTTAGTCAACATTGTCATGAAAATCGGGGTTAAATAATTTTAAATGTAACTTTAGTGCATCTAGCTCATGATTAGTTCTCTCTTATTTATTTATTTTTTGGCCTAATTAATGGTTTAGTGGTATTTAATTGAGACATATTAAGTTTGATTGGGGAAAATGTAGCAGTTATTTAAGTAAAGTCATATGGATTTGTGTTTTACTGAAGTAGGATTAATTTATATGTTTGTGATATTGAGAAGAAGAGGTGAACGAGTTTCATTTTAACAGGGATTGTATCTCTTACGGGCTATATTATGCCTTATGATGCATACATATATGTTACATTTTTACTTTGGAAAAGTTGTCATTAGTAAGCCATCACAGATTGATTAATTTTTGAAATTAAAAAAAAATATTTAGAATATGAGCATGTACATTGTCACTAGATATTAACTAGACTTTTTAACTAGTTGAATATTGCAATGTCATTCACGAAGTTGTTACTCCATTTCAAATGAGTATTTCATGGTTTCAACTTTTGAGATATTTTTCCAATCATAATAATAGGTTAATTTTGAGCACTCAAGGTGACTGTGCATTTCACATTTCAACACTTAAGAGTCTTGTAAATTTTATGTTGGCTTTCTTTTCACGATACATTGTATTTTTAAGCCATTTGTATGTTTACGCCAAGGGTTTTCTATGGAAAAGTTTATTGCGTCATAATCAGTGATTTAATAACAGAACTATGGACATTAAAAGGAGAATGATTTAATATTAATGATTGGTTGTGTTTTGTTCTGCTTAAAAAATTGTTACAAACATACCCTATGGAGAAAATAATAGTATATTATTTAGTTATATATGAAACAATCTTGATATAAGTTCTCAAAATTATACACTGTGTTAAACAATCCAACACTTATTTCTGTGTTATTACAAACTTGTTTAAAATAAAAGTGGAAAATTTCAAGAATTTGTTTTCATTTCAGTTATTGAAATATTCATTGTTCAAGATAGGGATAACAGTTAAGTCCTGTATCAGACTGATGTTATTCGAACCAAGGCATGATAATAACTGTATGCTTGGATAGGCTATTAACACTGGAAAAAAATTCTTGAATGACACAAATATTGGATTTTATTAGCTTGACTAGCTTACGGAACGTCGGTGGTTCTACTCGGGTGCCCGTTCGTGCCTGAAATAATGCACGGAAGGGCACCTGAGGTCTTCCTCCACCAGTAAAGCTGGAAGTCTACTGTGTCGATGTGACGTAAAACCCAAAACAAACTTATTATTAGCTTGAAATAATTTAAGCTATTTAGGTGCTGCAATCGCCATTAGAAAACTAACTTTGTTTATATATATTTATAATTTTGAAAATTGCAAAATGCTCCCAATAAGACGAAATGTCTGCCCAACACACACACCTACCTTTAAGGTCAAGGTCACACTGACGTTAAAGTTTAATATGGTCAGTTACAGGGTACATTTTGTGTCCAGGCCATACCTTTTTCATAGATCTAGAGACTTCGAAATTACTTGGCACAAATGTTGACAATAATAAGACAATGTGCACAACACTCGAACACTTATCTCCAAGGTCAAGGCCACACTTAGAGGTCAAAGCTTAACATTGTCTTTTATAGGTTATGTCCATTATTTTTATATTGTTGAAGGTATTTTGAAATAATTTTGTTCACAATAATGGGACCATATGTCGTGTGCAACACCCAGATTCCTACCTTCAATGTCTAGGTCACACTTGGGTGCCAAAGCTTATCATGGTCTGTTCTAGGCTATATTTTATGTCAGGTATATAACCTTTTCATCAATCAAGGGATTTAGAAATAACTTGGCATAAATGTTTACAATAAGAGGACGATCGACATGTCAAACGAATCACCCAGACCCCTACCTCAAAGGTGAAGGTAACACTTGGAGGTCAAAATTAACAGACACCTTTTGGGACAACGATTTTATTATCTGATTCACATAACAAACAAACAGTAGTGGTCGCTGTGCTAAACAATTTATATATTGAAATGTGTTGATTAATGATAAAAGTAACCATTGTCTATATCAGCACATTATCTGTTCAAATCTGTACAAATGCATTTTCATTTTGCAATAAATTTAATACTTAGGCACAAAAAAACTTTTAAATGAATTTCAGATTTTCTTTTCTGTATTAAACTAAGAATAATTGGTACAAGTTTTCAGGCATTCCTGGGATATTGCCAGATTTTGGTAGGACAGTAATGCCCTTCTCTAAAGCAAAATTAATGTAATAACAGGCTGTCAACCAATTCCTATATTCCTATAAAACTCCTATATTTTGGGTCTGAATCCTATATTTTAAAAAACCTCCTATTTTTCCTACATTCTCCTATATTTTGAATATTTTTCCTATATTTTTTTAAAAAGTATATTGCCGAGGAATTCAAAGAGATTTAAATTTTGGTACTGCTTTTGGCCTTTTGTATTTTACAGGTAAGAGAATGTGAATGCCTGCATCAGCATCACATTACTATGCTCAAGGCTGCTGTGCTCCACATAGCCATCTGCATGGTCACCATGAAAAGCAGTGCATCAGTATGTCACATTTATTTCAGGTTACCATTCAGATGATGGTCATGCATTGCTGTATCTTTCCGCTGATGCTGTGGTTTAAAGCTAATGCAGGCTGTCCAGCATCACTAAAATTCCTAAAAAAGTGAAAAATTCGAAGGGAATTCCTAAAAATGCCCTATTTTTTCACTGAAATTCCTAATTATTTTTATCTTTTGTACTAAACATACTTAATTATAACTTGTAACCCTATAAACATAACTCAAAGTCGATCATGTTTTGAACATTGTCAAAAATGATTTGGCCATGATTTGCCAACTCAAAATTGATGACATTGAAATGGTTTCGTTTAAACTAAAAGTTACTTTGACTATGTCAGTAACAATGCTATTTCATAATCAAAGCAGTTGTTGATAATCATGTTGACAGTTAACAGCAAAAACACTACCATATCATTGTCCTGAAACTTAAATCATAACCATAAGAGTCCACTTATTCTGGAATATTTTGACACTGCTTTGCCATCTCCAGATATCTTGAATTTAATGTTTGTTCATTTTATCCAAATTTCTGAAGTGGTCCATTTGTATCGTATCATATTTGAAAATGATCATTATGAAGCTGTTGTAACACAATCTTAATTAAAAACATGTATAAATAGTTGTCAAAAATTAATGCACAATTTGTTTACTCACAACTCTTTTATTTAAATCTGCATAATATCAAAACAACATTGTAAAGTACTGAATGGGTTAACATAGACTTTGAAAAATTAATTCTTTCCCTCATACTTATTTATTCTGTTCGTATCTTTGTAGGAGAAATTGCTTATTTTGCCACAAAGTTATCAATTTCATTCAGTTCTTGTTCTTTCATTCATATGGTGCAATTTAGGAAAGGCAGACTCATATAATTAATCATGAATGAAAACTCCTATTTTTTTGCCTTAAAATGGTCCAAAAACTCCTATATTTCATGCTAAAATATTCCTATATTCCTCCTATATTTTGGATAAGACCTGGTTGACAGCCTGTAATAATTATACTGCTAAACTCGGAGTTTTCATGTTATCTGACATTTTGAACCTGTACCAGTGGAATTTAATGTTTCAGAAAACACAAATTAGTTAATAATTTCAAATGTCTACATTTTCTTCAATAACATATTCACTCCTAAAGAAAATGTTAATAAAACGTCACTGCTTACAAATCTGTGCTTCGAAACCAAAGTCGCTACGATTTCAGCCAGTGTATGACATTTAAAATTGAACTGGGTTACAGTAGTTAACATTAATCATGATAAAAAGAATGCAACCAAAATATCAAATATATTTCGCGAATGTGAATTCACAAAAAAACTATATACATTTATAATAATATTATATAAATTATAGACATATAATGCTAATACAAGTCAAAGTCAAAAAGACGGTTTTCACATTTGGGGTCTGTATACTTAAAACAAAACATCATGCACAAAAGTGTTGCTATTACAAAACCATACAATTCCTCTATTTGAAATTGTCATTCCTTCCAAATATTTACATCCCTACCAACGACGTGGTTTATATCTGCCCACCTATTTAGAATCACCTATTTATGACCATGCAGGTCTAGAAGCTGAAGAAAAAAATATATATAATTTATTCAACTCTTCACATTAATCATTCGTTTTTTTCTACTACACCCACGTATAAGACAAGAGCACTTAACAAGACTGTGACAGTTAAAAGTGGAATGCTATAACTTACAATATTAACGATAAATTGTATCAATATCACAGCCATTAAAATACTGACAAATCTGATTATCTAATGAAATTTTACATGGCATTATGCAAGGTTTGTAAATAATAAAAGAAAATAAAGCGGTATTAGTTGCCTTTTTTAATCGAAATGAATATTTTATTCGGCAGCTTATTAACGGAAAAATATAGACATTACAAGTAAAGGCGGTATTTTTTTAATAATGAAATAATTGATTTAATTAGAATAAATACCATATTCCGCCGGTAGCGGGGTAGCAGTCGCGGCAATACGAATGGCGTCAAAGCTCTGAAATACGTACAGTTTGATATAACCAGTATTTCATATCCTACAAATCTTGATCAAATGGAAAAAAAAATCCACAAAAAAAAAAAAAAAAAATAATAATAATAGAAAAAACACATGGCTGCTTACCATTTATTGAACTTACAACGAGGAAAGTTATATCCGCTTTTGGCAATGTGTATTCAAAGATGCAAATATTTATTTACCCCAGTTTTACGTCTGCTTGGAAACGTCATCTCGGCGTCTGAACCAGTTCTGGTCGTAGACCAGCGCCGTCTCTTCTCGTAAAACTTCTTCCGGATCTATAATTGTAGCAGAAGTTGGCCAGACATAAACATATGAGATTGAAAAAAAGAAAATTAAAGAAGTATACAGTAATGAACAATGTAAAGTACATCTATATCTACTCACAAAAAGTTGCAATAATGAGATCTATAGACTATAGTCACAAACAATGGCAATAATGAGGAATCCTGAAACAGAAATCGGATCAAAAATTATTGAATGCAAAAGCTTCAATACAATCTGAACCCTTTGAGAAAAAGAATAAATCAATAACTAACAGCTGACCTGTCAACTGACCTACTTTTTGATAAGACAATTCCAACATTTTTGTTTGAAACGGGAAGGAAGGTATATAAAGTAAATAAAGACATTTTCGCGTACGGCAAATTTCGCGATTTTGGCGGCAATATAATATATCATTATGGTTATTGATACCATAGTTTTACCTCTTCATTGCAAATACAATGGAGGAAGAAGATACACATTCCCTGGACGGTGTTGAAGATGACAAAGAAGTAATGAAATACGACACTGAACGGCACCAACAAGCTCAGTATCCACGTGACACCTAGCAACGGTAACAACGTCATCATAGCTCGTAGACTACCTCTAAACAAAATAATATTTCTCTGTTAAAGCAATGAGAATATTCATAGCGGAAGACTGGATTAGTCATTATACCGTGACACATAATATCTTAAAGCTGCATGCCTCCAGATGAGCAAAACTACTTAAAGAGAACCAAACTTGGAGAAAATGTTCAAAGATTTTAAGAAAAGTAAAAATAATCAAAATTTAAGCAATGATTTACATGTTTTGTGCGAATAATGACTGATTTTGCAATATTTATCACAATATTTTACCGTGGGACTTACACAGTAAGGGATATTTTTACAATATTTTGACATATTTTTTGGTAATTTACATTGATTGTAACCGCCGTTTGCAATGTGTAAATTATTCTTTGTTCACTTCAAGATTTTTACTTTAAAACATTTTCAGAATTTACATGAAAATTAGCGCAGTCTAAAGACATGCTACTGACTTGTCCATCTTAATATTTATATCTAAACATAACCATTCAGCATATTTTGGTTAAAATATCACAATATAATAATGACTGAACGGAAAAGTGCAGACCATGATCAGGCGGTGAGAGTCTTAACCTGCATTGGTCCCACGGGTAAAATCAGTTGCCCACTGCAGGTTTAGGGTTAAATAAATAATATATTATAGTGCAGTCACTGCAGTGTATGGAATATTCAATTTCACAAAACACAATTACTACATTATTGGAATACCACTTATATTATTTGTAAGAACTTCTGACTGTTATGAATTGCATGTCACTTTGTTACTTTGAATTACCAAATGGATTTACATGTATTTCTATGCAACACAAAGTTTCATATTATAAATGGGGAGAAATATCGTTATAATTGCTAGGGAAAATCTTTAAGAAGAGGGTATAGTCTTATAAATGCCCTACGTTTTTGAAACAAGACATTATTAATGACATACCTCAACCTGGCAGCTTCAGTCTTCTCAGAATTTGCTCTTAGTGTTAGGAAACATTTGATGACCAGTCCCATTACTCCAATGTTCAGCTAAAATATTTGATATGTATTCAGTGTAATATTGAGTTGGCTGTTAATTAATTGTGTTATATTTTACATGTATTATGTACATGAAAATATAAAGAAATTTGTCTGTCTTAGACTAATACACTTATACTACACAGCGTTATTTTTAATTATTAAAAAAAACAACACAACGAAACATGGTTTGAAAGTGCATGTTTATGAGGTCTGTAAAATGGTTAAAGCCTCTGATTTGGAGTCACTTGCATCTTTACTGCCACAGGTTCGAATCCCGCTAGGATCTATATGAAGGAAATTATCCAGCTAGCTTCATAATGGAATTCGGCGGTTTTGCTCTGGTGTTCGCTCGTGCTGTAAATAATTCACAGAGTCTTCCTTCACATATAAAGCTAGAAAGACACCAATGTACATTAAAAATGACGATCTGTCAAAAAATGCTTATATATATCTGGGTGAATACTGAAAAGGTGACCATACCACTACAATGACCAGCATTGGTCCGAGGAACGCCCAGATTAATCCATCATCTATTGACAACCAGCAACTGAATATAGAGAACATATTTCAATTCAAAAATGCAGTTATACTGTTGCTTAGCAATAACGAAATAAATAGTATAAAAGCTTAACAAAATGCTCGTACTGAATGCAAATTCCTTTCGTTCATGGAGTTTCGTCAGCATAATTTCATTGATCAGTGTATGTCATGTATTTTAAGTATTGATATAACAATATTTCATATATTTCTATTAATTTTGTTTTTACTACAACTTTACAATGCTATTGTTATAAACCTGTATTGGGGTCCACTGCCGTAATCCGGAAAGCGCGCTGCCAGGGATATTACGACAATGATCAGCGGGAGTCCCCAGCCAAACAGGAAGTACTTGACGCGCATGTCACGATGATGGAATATACCCTTCGTACAGCAGAGATAGAGTGCTATACCTTCAACCATCATCCACGTAAATGATGCCATGAACAGGAAATGTAACAGAATAGCCACAACTTTACACGCCATCTACACCATGGTGAAATAAAACAAGTGATTTATAAAATTTATTGGCTAAAATAATGACGCCAGCAACTCTTATACTTCATCCATATTTTTATATTTACCATTTTACTTAAAAAGCGCAATTATTCCAAAACATGCTTACGTTACTATTCTTACTTGTACCATTTCCGTCATAAAACCATTGTCTATTTTCATGTTGTAAATAAGACTTTGAAACAAAGCTCGGAGCCAAACAAAATATTTCCAGTTTTCGTTTACCATATGAATTATGGATTATTTGTTTGAATTATTATTGTACATAGTCTTATGTTATTTTTTCTTGGTCATATTCTATTAGTATATAATTGTAAATGGCCAAAGGCATATTTTTACCGATTGTTGAATTAAGATTGATTGATTGATTGATTGATTGATTGATTGATTGATTGATTGATTGATTGATTGATAGAATTTTTAATTCTTATGAAATACAAGTGATAATGGCTCTTGTAATGCCGGAGTATCAACCAAATAATCCTCCTTACAAAATGGTAGTAGCGAATTGAAACATACATTTTTTTTTTAATTGTAAGAGATTATCATTACATACAGCGTATCTGTGGGCATCCCCTGAAGCAACAAACACAATTTGACCTAGCAACAACGCCAGAGATAGGTTAGCATGGATCATTATCTTCTCGTTTGTCAACATTCTATAATGATACATAATTAATATTCCTTATTTAAATATACATTACTCTGCTATTGGTATAAATCGGATAATTTTGAAAAAAAAATAGTATATAAGTTATTCATCAGTTAATTATAACTGCAGCATGCGCAATCTCGAAAAATAATGTGGAGCATGACTTGGGTTTTCAAACCCCTCATAAAAGGCGCAAACTTAATATAACTGACGGAAGGTAAAAACGGCTCATTTCCCAGCTATTCATCGCATCGCCAAGGGATACTGTTGGTGTTATAAATGACTGGTGAACGAGGAAAAAATGTAACAATCCAAAGACATTATGTATTAGATTTAATTAAATGAAGGTAACAGTATGAAACCATTTCCAAATTTCCAACCAAATAATTATTAACTAACTTAATATTTTCATAAAGAAGTTTTTATCTCGGACACCTTTAGAGAGTTACCTGTGTATTAAAATGCCTATAATTTCTTTCTATACAATAAGGAACAGTAAAATTACGGTTAAAATACACTGACAGACATGTTAATAAAAATGATTGATTGACTAATAAATAAATAAATAAATAAATAAATAAATAAATAAATAAATAAAAATCACTAAGAAAATAGTGACAAATGATAATGATGGAATAGTAAAATGGTTACATACTTGAGATAAATGATTGATTGAACATATAAAAACTACAAAAACATACTAAGGAAATAGGATGGGAATAGTAAAATGGCCACCTACTTGAGATATATATAGCAAATTAACGTCATAGCTAGACATGCTATAGATAAACTACATCCAACAGTCGTTAGTGTAAACAACGCTTGCTGGCTTTGTAGTGAAATCTGAAAATATATCGTTTGGAAAAAATATACTTTTGATATAAACTCTACCAAACATATAAGAAATGTGATTTTTTATCCACACTTTAACAAATTTGACAAATGAAACACGACATATGTATAATTGTATACAGTTATAGAGAAATCCAGGACTACAACAGAGAAACCGATATTTGTTGTTGCTGTTGTTGTTGCTGCTACTGTTGTTGTGTTGCTATCCGTACATTACTAAAAATAAAATTGATTGCAGTAAAATTACTGAAAGGTTTAGAATTTATTGGAAAAAAAAGAGAAAAAAAGCTACTGAGATAAAAAAGAAATACTCAATATACATACCTGTTTAACCGATCTCTGTACTTAATCACATAATATGAAATATAAATGAATAAATCAAAGAAACAAACAAAAAATGAATACATCGCACTTGTGTATTATACTGATTTTGAAAAAAAGAAGAAAAGAATAATAAATTCTAACTCACGTTTTCAGTTTCTACATACATGACGAGTATGGCAAAGTTGGTCAGATGATCACATGTACATTTTGTATGGGTGGTATTTTTGGAGACAACACTGCACCCTGACGAGGACCACTTCCTGCAATAAATACGCGGCAACAGACGACACAAATCTCAAATATAAACATTGATACTAAGAGGATATTTTTTTTCTTTTGTGTGAAATATGAAATATATTTTTCACGAAATGATTATGATAAAATGCCATATAAAGGCGAGTGAAATATTAAGAATTTTATCATGTTAAGTGAAAATATATTCCATATCTCTAAAATAATAACCTTTTAATTTAATTTTACCTTTGCATGGGCAATTGATTATTTATAGTTGCGTGATGCGGTTTGAATTCAATTTATCACAGCAATCTTGAACAGTTTCCGATTATGAAATGAATCCATGAAAGAGAGAAATATCTGAGAAAGTAGTCCCAAATATGAATATGAGTTTTCACTCCGCCCACTTTAATATTTATTTTTCATATTTGTTTTTCACAAATATGATAATATTTGTTTGATATAACACCATATTTCATGAGTAAAATTTTTTTTCAAGACGAACAGCGTTCTCTTCTAAGTTATATTTTACTACTGTTATACATGTATTTAAAAGTATTTATAATTAGGGTGACATACCTAAATAAGTATTGTACACCTGTACACATTAAATACACGTGATATTCATCGTACTATCAAGTCCTTAAAGATCCATTTAGCCTAGGAAAAACGTTCTCCTTATTATTCAAGTCTTTTATTTTTTGGTGTCCTGTGTTTTGCATTTTTGGCAGTTATTACGGTAAAGCCTAAGACGATTTATAATAGAAGTCAAATACTTCTTTGTTTACATTTTGCTACCGTAATCACAAATTTTAGCAATATCAGCAATACTTATTTAATGTTATAAGCATCTAATATGTTCTATATCTATATTTGACCTTTCTAATGAAAGGAAAAATCCATTTCAGAGGCTTTTATTAATGTGCCTCAAAAATTCACAACTAAAATATAAAATAAAACATACTTTTTTCTTTAAATATTTTTAGCATATTTTTCTATATTTACCTTCTAGAAAAATCCCAGAATGTACACATTCGCTTTTGCTCCTTCTTGTTCTTAATAGAAAGAAAATAAATAATTTAAAAGTAATAGCATGTACTTGTAATAGTGTGCATAATAAAACTAAATTCATTTAAAGTACACTTGTGATATGAAATATAATAAAATCTTAAATAAGATTTTTATACGTAATTATATTATAATTGCACTCACCATTTGTACATGTGTTTTCATGTCAAACGTTATTGCATCTTTTTTCCTTATTGTCGCATGTTTTGTTTCATTACCTGCAATTATAAGTCGGACATTATATTAAAGCTACGTGCCTCCAGATGAACCAAAATATTTCACGAAATTCCAAGTTGAGAAAAATGTAAGAAGGAAACTTTAAGGGAAAAAAAATTCAACATTCAAGTAATTATTTACATGCTTTGTGCGATTTATGATTGATTTTGTAGAATTTAACACCGTGTTTCTTCTGCGTGATTAACGCAGTAAGGGCTATTTTTGCATATTTTGACCTCCTTTTGATAATTTACGCGGATTGTAATTAAGTGTCGTTTGCAAAGTGTAAATAACTTTCTTTGTTTACTTCACAATATTTCCCCTTTAAATGCATTTTCAATACATGTATTTCACAAAAATAAGCATGAATCTGGAGGCATGCTGCTTTAAGTCAATATAGAATTAATGTCAAATGTACATTTGAGCATAGGGACATTTCACTGTTTTCTGCCACGTTATTAAGATAATTTAACAATAACACAATCACCTCGCTTAAAAAGGGATTTTAGCCTGAAATTAAAAACTATTTTTTTTTCATATTCATTTTCATTTTTCATTAATTTACCTTGGATAGTTTGGACAGTTACGGAGACTACAGTGCTCGTCAAATATTTGTTACTGGCTTTCACAAAACTACCCATTTTCTTGTACGCAATAGTTGATACGCGAAATCCTGAAACAGACAAAAATACACTAGTCAATGAGAATATTTCAAGAAATTCACAATTTAAAAATCGTAATAGTCAAAACAGCAAACCTTGGAGGTCATCCAACATGGCTAAATTAAGATTGTTTCCAGGTTGAATTCAATTAAGCCTGTTCATTGGGTAGCAGTGAATATAGCAAGCTACCGCTAAAGCCTGCCCCACACCCTGCACTGTTATGAGCAAAAATAGAAATGGCGAAATTTAAAAGTAAGAAACATCAACAGATGTGTTCTTACGATGATGATCATGGTTCCTTCAGAAGATTTCGTGCCATTCAATGATTAGTTGTGTTAAGTCCACAAGGCAAAGAATAAATGTGTTTTTCCTTAGATCTAAATCAGGAAAGAATGAGTAGAACTAAATAAAATGAGGGGATACGGTGATAAAACTGGTATGCGGTGTTGAAGCATGTGTATCTCAAATACCTGTCAAATGTTAAAGGGACACTGAGGCTTTTTTGACATGACAGGACTGGGAATATTTTTTCGATATTAATGTACCATTTGATGAAGGTCTTGACCAATAGCTTGTGTGCAAAATTTCAGATCATTTGTTCACGCCGCATTATTATTTTTATTTTGAAAAATGACACAAAATTCAAAAACGTTGCCACGCTTTTCACTCTAACCGGGCTACTAAAAACACAAAAATACGATTTTCAGTAAAAATACTTCCGATTATATTTCCTTATTATTATTTGTTCATCTCTCTTCGGAGAGGTATATAAGAAGTTCGAATGTAATGGTTTTTTAAGCATTTGGACCTCAGTGGAGTTCCTTTAATAAATAAAGAACACTAAGAAATATATACTCGACTTACTCGTACTAATTTGAATTATGTATTACATGGTTTAATCAATTATACACTTGTACCTGTGTTATCTTCTGCTTCAAAGATAGATTTGATGAGTTTTATATGGGTGTCTGTATGAGGATGGTCAACCTCAAGGGACACATCAGATGCCCTCCGTCCTGAAGGTTTCACTATCCGTGAATATAATACTAAAAAGATGAAAAAATAAATGTGTGTGTGTGTCTTTTTTTTTAAAGCAATGTGTCATTTTCATGCCATAATATTATATATTTTTATTAGAGAAAAATATCGTTTAAATTTACATTATTAGACATCTTTCTGTGCTAAACATGCTTAATACTTATTTGTCTAACCTTAAACAGTTTTTCAAGTAAATTAAAATAATTTATCTGTAATGGATGAGAATGTAAAACATAAGCTATGACTGCAATGTCATCAGACTTTTAAAATAATGAAACATAAAAGGAAATACCTAACTTATCAGTGGTAATGGAGAGTTCTGCTGTTGATGCGGGGAACCTTGTTACAAGATCTTCACCAACACTCATTATGTCCGAGAATAGGTCTTTCTAGAAGTAAAAAATAGCACGTGATTATAATAGCAACTTGTTAAAAATTCCTGTATTTTTGTTTTATATGATATAATAGATTTTTTTAAAGTAGACAGTTAAATGATTTTAATGATTATTTATCACTTTGAAATGTTATCATAACATTATGTTGGAATTCTTCATAGTACAAAGGCCATGTATCTTGATTAATTATTGCAAGTATTATAAAGTACTGCTAAATTCCTATCCGTGCAGGCGATTGACTTTGATTTGAAAACGAAAATCCCTTAAAGCAGCCTTCAGGTTTTATTTAGCCTTTAGAAAAGCTGAATGCCGCTTTAACCTGCCGACCTTCTGAAATATATCCATTCGTCCAGCGCAGGTGAAGATCTTGGTCTCTACTGTTCTCCACTATTCAGTGAGTACTTATTTTAAAAGTCTGCTCTAGAAATGACCAATGGGTCAAGATCAAAGATCGACAAGTCAATTTAAGTTATATTTATGGAATACCTTTAATTGTTCTGTTTCAGCCGTTATCTGTACGTCGCCTGTAGCTATCCCTACGGTTTCTGCAAACACCTTACAAGCATTGAAATAAAATACAGAATTAGTCAGCCCTATATAGAAACTAGTAAAGAGCCCGACCAGCCTTCTTGAAGTCTGACCAGGCTCTATTGATTATTATGATGTAGCTCATAAAGTTCATTTTTATACAATCTATAACGAAACATTCCCTGCGGTTTGATTTAGAAGAATTGTATTATACATTTATAAAATAACAACATGTAAGTATAGCAATGTTACATGTCACCAGAAAAAGCTACAAACGTTGTGCTCTTTTCATTGATATACTTAATCATATATATATAGTAGAAGAATAACTTAATATTTCCTTCTAGATTTTCAAAAAATGACATCCATACATCTGTTTTTTTTCCTGCAAAAATACACAAGGGGTAGGTTAGAGGAATAAAGTATTGAAACAGTACGATATAATATTCCATATCTTTTTCCAAAATGAAAAAGGCTTTCATAAGCGAGAGCATTCAAGAAAAGCTACGAATGTATTCAAATTACATGTTCGTTCCTAACTACATTCTTCTTAATATGTAAGAAACTTTGTATACCATTAATGTGTTATTGTCGACCTGCTGCTCATGTTTCAATGTGTTCAATATTCTGCTTATATTTTCCAGTTCTTCTATCTCATGGTGATACTTGTCTATTAGGAGAGAATACGGTTGTACCTGTATATGGAATATAGGGAGAGATGTATCTGTATATAAAACATACTGATGTTTGGTTGGGTTTTGAGTCACGCTTGCAGTAGTGGTGGCATGGTTGGCGGCTTTCAAGCTTCTATAGGTAAAAGAGACGTGAGTTGCCCCTCCGTTATTTCAGGCTCTACCACATACTTAGTAAAACCACCAATCTCCCGTAAGCTTCAAATACTGATGGCTACCATGACATATGATAATATTGTTTAAGAATATTCAAGTTTAAGTTTATTAAAGTTATTTTCGAATTTATTAGCGGTGCAAGTTTCTTTAATTCATTTTTTAAAAAGCCTTTTACCCTTTGCGATATGCAGAACTATAAGGCCACAATGGTACATACGATTAATTAATTGGTTTAGTGATAGATATATATGTATATGAGAAAAAAATGGATGGTAAATGCATGAACATGAAACAACATCTCTAAAATGTAGTGTTCAAAACCCATATTGCACATTGCTCCAACATACATGTATATAGGCTTTGATAGGAAATATATGGTGTCGACTTTCACATCCAAAGATGAATTATCACAACAAACAATATTTCAAAATTGCTATGATAAAATTATCATGATTCAATGATGTCAGAGAAAATGCTCTCTCCACCACCCTCCCCCACCAACTTTGTCTTATACAATATCATTATGAAATTAAAACGAAGAAGTATTAAAAAGCAGATTAAAATATAAAGATCTACTAACCGAACCGCTGTTAATTCCTGAAATTTGAACTCTTCCGTGAAATATTTTGTCCGTGTTCGCGGTCTGGAATTTAGCTTCTCTAACTGGAGTTCCATGTGTTATGTTGTGATGCTGATTTTTACTATTGTTACCATAGTTACCAGACATGTTTGTTGTGCTCGGCAAATCTGTAGTAACTAGTACCTCTTTAGAGATATTAGGTTTGGATTTTTCGAAGATTTCAGATAAAAGTGTGGAAAAATTGGTTATTCGTGTACCATTTCCATCGGGTATTACCATCAACTCTCCTAAATCTACTTCCGTTGGCTCGGTGGTTTGTTTGTTTGCTGTTAGGCCCCATTGGTCACTGCTCAAGTTCAAGTTTTTAGGTACAGGGGTACTGTTTATCATGCTTCCTGCAGTTATACATGATGTACTGTTACAAATTTCTTCAGAAATTGTCGTCTGCTCCAAACTATTCATGTCATCGTTCAGATAAGCTGACAGATTACCAGTTGGCGGAAGGTCTGGTGTCATCAACGCAGAATACGTACCTGTCTTGACGGAATTAGTAACCGGTTCAAGGGAATCTTGGTTTACATAGCATTCCAGAGCATCATCTGCGAAAAGCCGAGAAGAATGTATTACAATATGTAGAATACGAGATAATATATTCGCAGTTTTGTTTTTATCATATATTTATTGTTTTAGAAGTACAGCATAATATATGTCGTAGGAAAAATACTATATGTTTTGCCCTATATGATCAAAAATTAATTGTTGACGACCATTGTCAAGTAACTGGAAATATCCAGGTGAACATTTAAAGCTACTCAGTCAACAGTGTAGAGCTTGGTCAGCCTGCACAGATGTACAAGCTTGTCTGGTGGCAAATACTAGTAAATTTCAGTTCAAGCATATATCAATGTTAAGAAAGACCATATTTAATGCGTTTCTCACCTTGCTCGCAGATGGTTACATTCATGAATCTAGCGCAATGTGTCAAGGACATTGTGTCCCCTAAAAGCTCAACACAAATATTCTCTGTTCCGTTATTCTGTTCATTTTCAGATGTGACGTCCACAACTGCGTCAGATGGCCACGTTCCTGGTCGCGACAGCCAATCAAAATACGAACTGTCATTGCTGTAGACACGTATTGCTCCAATAAAAACAGGAATATCGCGTGCTTTCAAAAAAAGAATACAATCATGTTTGAACGATAATATATACAATGTGGCAATTATAAAATTAAACTGAAAAATTTATCAGAATCCTAGAAACATTCTGTTGTAAATAAATAAACAAATATTGCATAAATTGTTTCAGCAATTCGCAAAAGTATTTTCCCCTTAAATTTGAACAAAAATAATGTTTAAACATGTTTAGGGGGAACATCAAATTATATATGTATTTGTAGTACGATGCATATAATGTGTCCAGCGTTATACTTGTACGTAAGAAAGCAAAAGAAACATTTACCTTCAGTTACATACATGAAATTTTTAAATAATAACTTAATTCATTTAATATTTCTAAAACGATGATATTTACTATAACATAGTGAGTATTTGAAAGCAATAAAGAATTAATTTCAACTAATATAGTAAGTAATTGAAAGCAATAATGAATTTATTTAACATACATATGTTTAATGCATCAAGGATATCTGAGGCTTCCGACGTAGTATTAAATGTAAAAATAGTTCCACCACTGTCATTGCACAATTCCTTCGCCGTCGTTAAATTACCACCATCCGCTGACCAGAAACACCGACCATTATAATCTACTGGACGGATTGGTAAACTTTGCCGAAGGACACCTATCATTGTGTAGAAAAAAACAAGAACTATTGAAAAGATACGTGCAATAACAAAGTAATAAGATGATTATTTTTAAGTCTTGGACATACTTCCCCGGGGATTCTAGTCTGTATTTTATAAATGAACGTGTTTAATCAGCATCGATGAAGATTAGGGATTTATAGACAGTTGCCAAATGGTATGCTCACAACTCGAACAGTTTAACCTATGATATAATGGTAGCGAGTTTGACTAGCCGCTTCCCCATATATGTCTTCGTTCTTTGTCCTTATTTGAAGGGCCGCGAGAAGCTGGCGGCATGTTATATATAGATGAACACCTTGAAATTAATCTTAAATACATTTAAAGTTTTAACAGAATTTGATGGGATTCTTTTGAGTGTGCATATTTTCTCTTAAATTGATAATTACTTAAAAATTATATCTAAAAGAATAACATCTGAAATTATTCACTTACTTTTAGAAACGGCGAGTAGATAAAACAGTAAGATGTAAATGTGAATTCCAAACTGTCCCATCTCTTGTTCTTTTATCCCGTTGCGACAGTTCGGTTTCTCGCTTTACACATGTTTCTTGCTTGAAGATATTTCTGTATTAATTTTTGTCAGGCTGTATAACTCGAAGGTATGGTCCTTACTTGGTTTAAGGCCAAATGAAATTATACTCTTCTGATATAAAAAATAAAGTGTAATATTTAAAGCCTGGCATCAAATAAACATTAAAAGAAGCAGATTCTGCCAAATGCAATTAATCGTATATACACGAGATTTCATTCTTTTGATATATTTGTACAGTTTATTAAACGTAATAGTTTGCACATATGAAATTCCTTTAATTGAAACGCGCTGTCCGACTTTCAAAGGGAAACAGATCAAAATGAAGGAAACAAGAAACAAATATTAATGTTCATCTTGCCTTATGGATTATTTTTGGATAAATCACGCTTATCTTGGACTGTATCAAGAATGGTCTAAAAATGAACACTCAATGTACACATTCCAAGTTAAAGTTAAGAAATTACTGTCAAAAATCAAACATCATATCTTAGCATCTCTTTTGATCGTCAGTACGTTTAGTTGACAGGGTAAATATATTTCATTAATTAATGGCGATCACAGATGCTCATATTCCCATGTAAGAATATGACAGAAAAAGGTGTAATAAGACTTCTCGATTTCTTTTTTGGGCATGAATCTCTGAGACGGTTTCACAGAATGCAACACGTTTGAATTTTATAAGCATTATAAATCTTCATTTGAATTTGTGGCGTAATAACGATAAAACGGTTCCATGTTATAGATTCATGCATTGCTTAAGCATCATTGGTGTTTCCTATATTGGTATAAATTTAGTTCTTTGCTCAAGACATGATCATAATTAATCAAAGTCTTAATGAATATAAATTGATATCGAAAAATTTGAAAAATTTAAAGTTATCTTCATTACGATTTGACGATAAATGGATACCTTATAGAGGACATTGAACGATCGAGTGCAGGTTCAATACTAAATTTATTGAACGAGTTGAATGAAATTATATTATGCGAGTCTCTGGTGAGCAAAATATTATTTTATTCAACGAGTTCAATAAACTTAGTATTGAACCTACGCGAATATAATATTTTTATTACATACCACGTTATACCAGATTCTCATCCCTGTAGCAATACTACAATTTTGCATTGTGTTGACGAAAAAAGATACATTCCTTTTAAATGATTAAATCTTTGCATATGAACTGACTGTTCAACATAATCTCATATTATGTCAATCATAATAAATTATTTTTATAATAAATCAAATAAATGCAAATAAATCAAATTTTGCGAGCGTTACCTTTTGACGACAGTAGCTTCTTTATTTATCCTGTATCATATGTGGAGACTCATTGAAAACGAGAACTCAACATGGAGATGCCTTAAAGCAGCATGTCTACAGATTCAAGTTTATTTCCATGAATATTTTGAAATTTAGCATGTTAAGGGTGTTGAGAAAATAAAAGATATATAATACAGGTTAGGAGCCATATTACAATATTTCAGTCAAATATTAGCAGGAAGTTACTTATCTTATGTTACCAAGTTCTGTAGTACTACTCAATGTGATATTATGCCCATTTCTTCACTTTCAAGCCGAGATAAATTAAGAACTAATTTGACTAAACAGTAAAATTATTAATATATTTATTTATAATTCACCATTTATATAGTCTTAGATATGCATAATGTCACTTTAACTGTATTTCAACAAGTACCTGCCAACTTCTCCACAATAAATCATTGAATACACAAATGGGGGATTGGCAAACAATATTTTGTCATTACTATAGTTATAAGTCTGAAAACACCTAAACTCGTTTCTTTTTTAATTTAACTTCATGCTTCCTAGGCTTGAGTTTATCTATGCCTTAAAAGTTGCCCTATACCTTACTTCAGTGTTGCTTTATTTTTTCTGGTCCTCCAGGATAGTACATTCCAACACTTGAAGTGTTGAAAATTGAGTACAGCTCAAGCCAGTGTTAGGGATGTGAGGGATGTTGCACTTCTTCATTATTTCTCATGTACAAACTCAACAAACAGAGTCTGCAATTTTCATGTAATTTTGTTGTGATTAATGCTTCCAATGTCACCAATGGTTTTCAATCTTAAGTAAAAGTCCAACATGGCCAGGAACATTTTATGCACTTATCTATGACGTTGTTTCATTTGTAATAATTATAATATTGATGAAAACGTAGGTTTTACTAAAGTTGAATTACTTAAAAATAGGTTTTGATTGAAAATAAAAAAATACCTAACTACTTTTTTTAAAAAATCAAAACTTGTTTTAAGTAATTCAACTTTGGTAAAATCTAAGTTTTCATCACTACTATAATTATTACAAATGTATAAATTTATATTATTTTATAATATATTATATTAAATTTATTACACATTTAATACAGCATTAACTATCTAAATTAGGGATATAAAATAACGAAATCTGAAGAAAAAAGATATATTCTTTCTCCTACTTTATTTACAACAAAATGCTCGTCATCTACAACCAAAATATAATATATATACTATGTATTCATGTAAAACAAATGCATTTATACATTAAAAATATTACTGTTTTAAATAAAAAATTATCACAGACATATATGTAGATTCATACAATACTATAAATATGTAAAACCTGAAATAAAAAAAATAAAGAAAAATTAAAAAAAAGCTTTAAAATGTGTATACAAATACTACATAACCCATAAACTACATATATTAAAATCTTTTATATATAAAAACTTTTTAAAAAATCCTCAGAAAAAAAAGCAATAAGAAATAAATTTCAAAATACAATGTATCTAAATTTGAAAAGTTTTGTTTTTATCTTCCTTTTACCTAATTTTTACTAAATTTAATCAAATCATGCAATTGTGAAAGGCAACAGATTCTGTGTTTTTAAAAGCATAGTCAATTAATAAACAGCTAGGGAACAATACATATTTTATCACAAATATTGATATGATAGTACAAACATTGAATGTTAATGGCCTTCAAAACATGCCTCCATATTGCATGGTATAAATTTGCTGACATTAATTCCAAATTCCATATTAAAGGAACAAAAATTGACATAAACATATGTTATCTGAAAATTATCTGATCATGGTCTGCACTGTTTGCTATTCTGTCACTAAGTATTTTGAAAAATTCCCTTAAAAATGATAAATGGTTTTGTCCAGAGTAAAAGATGGAAAAGTCCATTCTAGAGATTTAGCATGGTCAGTGCTAAAAAAAGCAGTGAAAATGACTTCCCTTTGCTACCCATACAAAGTCAGACCATGCAATAAATTTCCTGCCATTGGACTTTTCTAATTTACTTGCAGGCCAAGTTCATTCTACAAAATAGCATGGTCAAGGTTAAGAATTACATTTTATATACCGTTTAAGTACAGATGAGTTGATTCATCACAAAACATACACATCTATATTATTGTCACTACGAGAAGTTTATTTATAGTCCACTCTTTCATTACTTTTATTTCCATTATCACTCCCAAAACCATTTTTATTTGAAAATTTGAGCTGATAAACCAAAATAACATCTGACTGTAAAGTATCTACTGTATTACATTATGTTGATTTCCTGAATGTGAACACAAACTAATTTTTGTTTATAAATCTGAAATGCGTAGCTATGGTCAGTATTCACTTCAGACAACTTTATGGTATCTACTTCCACGTTTTTCCTTCGTAACGTTTCTTCGTATGAAGACACCTCCATCATCTTGGGTGCGTTTTTTAGAACCTGATCGTTTCTTCGTTAAAGATGTAGCGGGTTGTCTCCGGCTTTGACGACTCCCATAGTCAGCATCATAATCCGACTGAAAAATATACAATTATAGATATTTAAATCTAAAATTGCTGGAACTAAAACTTAATAATGGACAATTCTAAAAATAGCAACTTTACAAGTCTGTAAACTCAGTATAATAAGGGTAAACATAATTCTGACTTGGTCACACCATTTAATGGGCATAAATCTTCATGTGAAATATAAGATTACAGATTTTGAAAGAAACAAGCAAAATTTGGACATTTGATCTTGAAGGTCAAGGTCATTTACGGATGAAGGTCAAGGTTAGTCTGGTCTACTGAAAGGTCTTGATCCTGTCCCAAGGCTTGCTGTGGCCAAGTATGAAGACATTATTCACCAAGAACTTAAAAAGTTATGATCAAGGTACATGTTTACGGACAGTAATGGCAACGCCGACATGACTGTAACAATACTTCTAATGTCAAGCTATAAGGGAAAATCCCAGTGCTTTTTATAGTATTGTGTTAATTTGATAACCGTTTAACTGCTAAAACCCAAAGAAGTAAGGCCCACCAGTATATAGCCAGGTCAGCCAGCACATCCTTACAGCCAGACTGTTGGAAATCCTCTTCCTCATATATTCCCAAAATTGACAATGGACAGTTCCATAAATAAAAGCTGTACAATTCAGCAGTTTAAGGTTAAAAAAAAGAGTTAAAATATGTTCTTGCACGAAGGATTCAACTTTTGACAAATATTCCATATAAAATACCAAAAAATAATGTTTCGACAATTATGTTTGAATTTGAACATCTGTTTGTTACGAAAGATCTGAGAAATACGTACCCCTGAATCTTCGTTCATTCGGCTCTGTAGCCTGTAGCTAAGGTCGGCCATGTCTCTACGATACTGGTCAAGTTGAGCCTCCAACTTTTCCCTCCTCAACCTCTCATAATCTAACTGGGCCTCTAATTCATTGATTGTCCTGTAATAGAATTGTTTACATTATATTTCTTTATATTTTCATGATTATTTAACCCATTACTTTATGAGCATTTTGTGAAAAATGGCTGTTTTCATTGAAAAGTCCCTCGTTACAAGTTCAAATTGCTATAAAACTATAACAACTGCTTCAATACTAATCAATCTTGGCACAAATGTTGCCTTTGTAACAACATGCCCAGGCTTGAATTTCCTGTTACCATGGCAATGAGGGAACATCTCAAAATTGCCAAAAATCACTATTTTGTGTTTATTTTTTTTTAAATCAAAATTGATTTCAAAGTGCTGCAACTTCTCAATGGATTGAGATAGTCAAATGCCTTTCAGCGTTGGTTACACATTACCTTATCATTGATCTGAGGTCATTTTTAGCCTCTCACAAGTCAAAACTTTTTTTGGCGATGAGGACTGCCGCCATCTTCAAACCCCCCAAACAGAACTACCCTCTGATGTATCTTTTGGTTTGTGGGCCGCGCCAAAAGGGTGGTCACTTTTTTAAGCAACATTTCTCAAACAAAAACAAGTGTTGGGCACCTAAATAAGGCATTTTTATCACCATTTTAGACAACAATAAAGGGGGGGGGGGGATGAAAAAGGCGTTAAAAGGCGTGTATATCGGGTAATGGGTTAAGACTGAGCTTCAATCATCAATAAAGGTAATAGTATACTACTTTTACACATATAACTATTATAATTATGTTGTAATGTGATAACTAGGGGTATCACGTTTATCCGTTTAAATGGGTACAATCAGTTTTTAACTAAAAACCAGTTAGAAAATTTAATAACCGGCAACCAAGGTTAGTATTAGACAAAGAGCCGAGAAAGTTTTAAATTGATTTGAAACCTTACCTTATTTTTCAGAACAAGATCTGACAATTTGTTTGTGTTTTAACTGTACTTAACAATGTATTTTTTCCGATCACCTGTTATCTGATTGCAAATGGTATGGCCCTATCGTAAATAGGTTAAGTTCTTTAAAATATGACCGAAACATCATATCTTGTCATAAAGAAACAAATTCAATGTTGAAAATCTAAGAATTTTACTAGTATACTACCGGTTAAATGTTTAACACGTTTTTTAGGGCATCGTTTAAACAGTTATCTAGTGATAACTGACTGATGTTTGATAATTAAACAGCTTTAGATATAAACACTTACTTGTCTTTATCACGGATTGTTTGCAATCTTTTCCTATCTTCTGGTAATGTTCCTCCAAGCTGAGTGTAGTTCCTCTTGGCAATCTCAAGAAGTCTCTCTAGATCTTCAACTTTCCGTCTTGCACGACCTTTAACATTATAAAGAAACATTAAGAGACATGTATTAACCCCTTTGTTACATGCAAGACAGGTATACCTATCCCTCTCAAAATACCTGGTATTTGTCTACAGTATGCCTACAAGATGGGTGTGCCTGTCTTTCTTTTTTGAATTCTGTTTTATTGATATTTTTTGGCACTACAATCATAATTCTGGTGTGAGGTTGGAAACAGAATCACTCATTCTCATCCGTAAATGTGAGCTATATCAATTATTCTAGGTAAATAGTATCAATTATTCTAGGTAAATAAAGTGAAAAATAAGCTCACATCTTCTATAATACATTCCAGAAATTCAAAGAAATGTCATTTGTAGATAGTCATCACTGTCTGAAAACCAGTGGGTAAATCAGACATACATTGTATAAATAATGAATAACATATCCAAAGAAAATAAATCACCTGACTGCTTTATATATTTAAATAATATCTGTGAATTTTTTCTAAAAGAATAAAACAAGAGCCGGTCAAACTGAGTGATGTTCCCCAAATAGGTTTTGGACACAGAAAAGTAGTTTCTTGTTGTTTCAGAGTTACGGGTTACATTCCAGACAACAGACAGATGGAAAAAGCGGTGATTATATGCTCTCCCTTCACGGAGCTTAAAAAAACAAAACTGATCAAGTTATGTTACCTCTAGATTCTTTCTTTTGTTTGGCAGTGAGAGTAAGTGAAGCCCCGTCAGTATTGCCCTCAGTCCCGAGGGCTTCATCGTCAGACCAATCCTCTAGATGTGCTAGATCATCTGTAACAAATAAAACAAATAAATCATCTAGTGGAAGTGTCTAATGAACAAAATAATATACATCTATGAAAATGCTTATAGCATAACTTCATAAAAGTTCTTTTGTTGTGGGTATAAAGAAATTTAGAGGAATTTAAAGAAATTTAACTGTGGCTTTGTGACATGACAGGACTGGAAATATTTTTTTCAGAGATTTGTGTATAGATCTAATGTAGGTCTGAATAAATAACTGTTTGCAAATTTTCAGATTATTTCATCACCCTGTTTCATATTAAGTGCTCTGTATAAAATTATAGTTTTGTTTTTATACTTTTTGAACTCAGTAGAGCTCCTTTCAATAAATTATGGAATTTTGTAGGTCTTTGACCAAGTAGATTATATTCATGATGATTTATGTATATAAACTAGAACTATCACTAAATGTGATTAATACCCCCACAAGTCTGCTTCGGAAATGAGGATGTTACTAGTAACAGAATACCTTGTAATAGAATTGAAACATAGAGTTATGGTTGTGGGCAATTAAAGATAATTGTGGTTCATGTATGTTGCATTTCCTTTCAATGGTTGGCCATTGATGAAGTTTAATTGAATTACTCTGTAATAAGTCCAGAAAGACAAAGAAAAAGAACAAAGGGCAATAACTCTATAAATACTGAAGATAGAGTTATAGTTCTTGTGCACTGCACTTCCTCTTATTGTGCTTGACCATTGTATGAAGTTGTTTTGAATTCCAACCAGTACGTTTTAAGTTATGCTCCGGACAAGGAAAAGTATCAAAGGGCAGTAACTCTGTAATTAGTCAAGATGGAGTTATGGTTCTTGTGCACTGCACTTCCCCTTATTGTGCTTGACCATTTTATGAAGTTGTTTTGAATTCCAACCAGTAGTTTTCAAGTGATGCTCTGGACAAGGAAAAGTAACAAAGGGCAGTAACTCTGTAATTAGTCAAGATGGAGTTATGGTTCTTATGCACTGCACTTCCTCTCAATGTGCTTGACCATTGTATGAAGTTATAATGAATTCCAACAATAAGTCTTCAAGTTATGGTCCGGACAAAAGAAAGCAATGGAAAAGTAACAAAGGGCAATAACTCTGTAATTAGTCAAGATGGAGTTATGGTTCTTGTGCACTGCACTTCCCCTTATTGTGCTTGGCCATTGTATGAAGTTGTTTTGAATTCCAACCAGTAGTTTTAAAGTCATGCTCTGGACAAGGAAAAGAAACAAAGGGCAGTAACTCTGTAATAAGTCAAAATGGAGTTATGGTTCTTGTGCACTGCACTTCCTCTCAATGTGCTGGACCATTGTATGAAGTTATAATGAATTGCAACAATTAGTCTTCAAGTTATGATCCGGACAAAAGAAAGCAATGGAAAAGTAATAAAGGGCAATAACTCTGTAATTACTTTAGATAGAGTTATGGTTCTTATGCACTGCACTTCCTCTCAATGTGCTTGACCATTGTATGTAGTTATATTGAATTCCAAGTTATGGTCCAGAAAAAAAAAAAGAAGGCAATGGAAAAGCAACAAAGGGCAATAACTCTGTAATTACTTTAGATAGAGTTATTGTTCTTGTGCACTGCACTTCCCCTTATTGTGTTTGACAATTGTATGAAGTTGTTTTGAATTCCAACCAGTAGTTTTCAAGTTATGCCACGGACAAGGAAAAGTAACAAAGGGCAATAACTCTGCAATTAGTCAAGATAGAGTTATGTTTCTTACGCACTGCACTTCCTCTCAATGTGCTTGACCATTGTATGTAGTAATATTGAATTCCAACCATTAGTCTTCAAGTTATGCTCCGGACAAGGAAAATGCAATGGACAAAAAAAAAAGCAATGAAAAAGCAACAAAGGGCAATAACTCTGTAATTACTTTAGATAGAGTTATGGTTCTTGTGCACTGCACTTCCCCTTATTGTGTTTGACAATTGTATGAAGTTGTTTTGAATTCCAACCAGTAGTTTTCAAGTTATGCCCCGGACAAGGAAAAGTAACAAAGGGCAATAACTCTGTAATTAGTGAAGATAGAGTTATGGTTCTTGTGCACTGCACTTCCTCTCAATGTGTTTGACCATTGTATGTAGTTATATTGAATTCCAACCATTAGTTTTCAAGTTATGCTCCGGACAAGGAAAATGCAACGGACGTCTGGACCGACCGACCGACCGCCCGACCGACCGCCCGACCGACCGACCACCGGGTGACTCCCATATACCCCCCCAAACTTCGTTTTTTGGGGTATAATAAGCATTGGTATTTCTTACTCTATTAAATCATTCACAACTTCTCCTCTTTATCAATTTGTAAATGAGGAGGACATAGTAAAACAATGGAGTACGTAAGAATTAAATATTTAATTCTACAAACCTGGGTTCCCTCCAAGTACTTTCACACAAGTTCTATTGCCATATTTTTGTGCTACATTAAGGGGAGTTTTACCCTGGGAGTTCCGCAAGTTGATATCTGCCCCGGCCTCCCTCAAATATTGTAGAATATGAACATGTCCTTGTGCTGCAGCTGAAAACACAATCACAAATAAATAACTATGTTTGTTTGGTTTCATGGCACATGAACACAATTTAGGTCATTATAATGCCGCCAAAACAGGAAAGATGATTTTGGCTAACCTCGGGTGTTACAAACTTAAAGCAACACCAGGGGTCAAAACCATCTCACCTGCTGGAGCAAAGAGATGCACAGACTCCAGTATTTCGAACCTATTTAGTCTGCCTCTTACAATCATGCAGGGTTAAACAGTGGCTGCAATTCTGAAGCATCAACTCGTAAAGCCACAAGGGGCTACTAAACTATGTACACAAATAGCAATAATGAATTGTTAACTCTGTAAGTACAGATCGAGGCCAGTTTGCAATGAACCTTCCAATTGATTTTTGAGTTAAATGCATTCACTATTTCTGGTTATATTTATATTTCATAATGTGGTCTTTTCTTAACCCCCCCCCCCCCCCCCCCCAAAAAAGAAAAGACTGCCATTTTATTTCAATGACACTATGTATTCATACTGTATTCACCTATAGCGTGTAGAGTTTAAAACCTAATACTATCTTGTCTTTTTATCTAATACTTATTTTACATTTATAAAAAGACTGCCTAGCAATTATCAGTATTTTCAAATATCAAATCTTAGCATTGTATATATTATAACATACCTTTATGAGCAGCTGTGGATCCCTTTTCATCCTGTTCATTTATATTGCTAACCCCTTTTTCTATAAGACTCTTTAAATGTTCTAGGTCACCAGAAAATGCTGCCAAAAGAGCAGGATAACCCAGGTCTGAAATAAAAATATGTAAAGAATACAATTATATGCTAAATACTGGCTGTCTTGTGATGCTGACTAGCTGAGGACAATCAATAGCCCAACCAAGATTCTTCATCTCTACAGTGTGTTTAACCAGACAGTACCACAGACCTGAATTTACATCTGTACAGTACTTCTGACCTGAATTTACACATGTACTGTACTGCAGTCTGACCTGATTTTACATATTTACAGTACTGTAGTCTGACCTGAATTTTACACATTCACAGTACTTCAGTCTGACCTGAATTTACACATTTACAGTACTGCAGTCTGACCTGAATATAAACATGTACAGTACTGCAGGCTGACCTGAATTTACACATTTACAGTACTGCAGTCTGACCTGAATTTACACATTTACAGTACTGCAGTCTGACCTGAATTTACACATGTACAGTACCACAGTCTGACCTGAATTTACACATGTACAGTACCACAGTCTGACCTGAATATAAACATGTACAGTACTGCAGGCTGACCTGAATTTACACATTTACAGTACTGTAGTCTGACCTGAATTTTACACATTTACAGTACTGCAGTCTGACCTGAATTTACACATGTACAGTACCACAGTACAGTACCACAGTCTGACCTGAATATAAACATGTACAGTACTGCAGTCTGACCTGAGTTTACATAATTATGTACAGTACCAGTCTGACCTGAATTTACATATGTACAGTACTGCAGTCTGACCTGAATTTAAGCAAGTACAGTACCTGAATTTTTACATGACTCACAGTGTAGGTCAGTACATCAGTACAATACAATCACTATCAGATTCTACATCATGCCACCATAGTGCAGTAAGAGGTTAAGTACTTCTAAATTGAATACTTTTTAACCAGTTATTGCACTTAAAGGTGATTCACTGTGTTAGTTTTATAAGATCTTTGACACTGTGAAATGCTGTTCTGACAACAATTTTTAGAAGATATAATAAACTTGCTGGGCTTTCATCTATAATAAGATTTGCTTGAAAGTACTTAAGTTAAAAGTCCAGATGATGAGTTAAAAAATATTTATTGAAGTAATCTATAGTAACAATCATTATCAAAAAAATCTCACAGCACCCTGAGTGGGACAGACCAGCTATTTTTAAGTTGTACTGGACATTATGAAGAATCTGGGACTTTCTATTTTAACATTACTGACATTCAAATGCTTTAAGGATAACAGACCCTAATGAGCATGCATTCATGACGACATATTGAAATCTTATCAAATAATGACGTCACAGTGGAAAACACCCTATTACATGACCATATACTAAAAATAATTATCCGAAAACTGCCGAAAGAAAGTCAGAGTAGTTTCGGGTTATCACGATACTATCTCGCATTAGTCAATGTTAAATAATTCATAAGGGTGTGTAATCCTTAAGTTAGAAAAGGAAAAAGAAAAACAAACAAAAAAAACTTAAAACACTGCAGACGTCAATACAGTGAAAGGGGGTAGGTAAACATGCGATATTTATTCAGAGGCATAATCATGACACAGACATGATTTTAAAGGACATATCACTTCCTTAAATATATATATATGTACGTTCATGTATCATACTCAACACTAGGACTTGGGTTTATTATAATTATAACAAGGTTATAGTTTACTTAAACCTTGAAATGATATTGCAAATTGGATTTTCAAACACTATTATAATACAAAGTTTATATATCAGGATCAATATTACTAAAGGTTTTTTAAGTGTGATATAAAATGTCAAGTTTAAACAATTTATAAACTCAGTCAGTGTGTAATATTAGGACAGTTTTAGTTAAAGTAGATCTAAATATACAATGGATAGATAACAATTTACAGGGCATAATTTAAAAAAAGACGTTTTTTTTTCCAATTTGTTAAACATGCTAAAAGGAAACTTTATACAAAATCAATAACAATTGCTATTAATTGAGGCATACAAAGAGTTTAAATCTTTATCAGGTAGGGAAATTTATAAAAATTATTTTACTGCCTATTACTTTTTTTTTGATACTCTTTTTATGATTTTCATGACAATTGTTTCTTTTAATTAACTATGTTTGGCTTCAGATAAATAATGATATTATAGTATGATATTTTTAAGTCATTTAACATAATGAACTGTATAATATGTGAAAGGATACACAATTTGTATGTCAAAATGTTTTGATATATTATAACTGGCACGTTATTTAGTGTTTTTTTTTATAAATTAACTGTAATTAGCAATAAGGTTATATGAGCCGCGCCTTGACAAAACCAACATAATGGGTTTGCAATCAGCATGGATCCAGACCAGCCTGTGCATCTGCTCAGGCTGATCAGGATCCATGCTGTTCCCTATCAGTTTCTCTCCTTGTAATAGGTTTTGTAAGCGAACAACATGGATCCTGATCAGACTGCGCGGATGCACAGGCTGGTCTGGATGCATGATGGTCGCAAACGCACTATGTTGGTTTTGTCGTGACGCGACTCAAATGATTATTCAAAGAGAACATGCATCATTATAAATGTACAAGTTTTATGTTACCAGGAACACTGGTTTTCTGCAACATATCCTCAAAGTTGAAAATTCTAGATAGCAACACCGCAACAGTAACATATACATAATTATGTAACATTATAAGGGAAAGCATTTGTGCTTAAATTTTTGTGGTACTGGTGATTTTTCGATACATCTATATTAAGAAAAAATATGAAAAACTGAAAGTGTCCCTAAAGGTAATGTGGAAAAACCCATTTGACTATCTCTGAGGAACATATTCATATATATTTGCTACCTGTTAGAGCATTGAATGGCATGTTTTATTGGGAATGACCCTGTAATTAATGGCCCTCGAATAAAATCTTCCTCTTTTTTGCTGACATAGATGGCTGAAGGAGGCATGCCAGTTGGCAGAAACAAACCAGGCTATGCAGCTCTTGTAGTCAATATAGAATCTGTGAGATCAGATTTAAATGATTTCAGGCCACGCCCAAGTGCCCGTGAGGATATCACTAATCTATTACATATATTCAACAAACTAGGCCTTACATGTATCAATGAAAGTTCATCAGACCATACAAATCTAACAGTGGGTCAGTGGGATCATAATCGAGCCAGTAATCACACTAACAGTGATGTGGAGAACTGCGGGGCCTGTCTACGATGTAAAATCAGATCAAAAGATCATTCCGAATCCAGGTGTTTCTTCCTTGCTATGAGCTCACACGGTCGAGAAATTACAGAAACTGAGGTCATGTTTTCTGATGAAGAAAGCGTTAAACTTACAGAAATCTTCGATGCTTTAAGTGACGAAAACTGCCCATCATTAAAGGGAATTCCACGTATAATTTTGATACTGGCTTGCAGAGGAAACTTCAAAGATCCAGGTAATGATGATTTACAAGTCAGGATTCCTAAGCAATTATATAACATAATTATATCTATTTGAGATATTAATTTTGGATATGAAATCTATAATTATTGTATGTAAAGGTACAAATCAGAGATTTACTTTTATGGCACATTCACCTGAGAATATATGGCCAATTAATAACTGAGACTGAAGATATGTAAATATACCGAGGCTTTCAGTGTAACTTTTAAATCATCATCTGAGTTATTACAACATCTGGTTATTGATGTCTTTGTCCAGGAAGTGATTTAGCAGACAATAAATGAGCCGCGTCAAGACAAAACCAACATAATGGGTTTGCGACCGGCATAGATCCAGACCAGCCTGCACATCCGCACAGTCTGATCAGGATCCATGCTGTTCGCTATCAGTTTCTCTACTTGTTATACATGTTATAGGGATTGTAAGCGAACAGCATGGATCCTGATCAGACTGCGCGGATGCACAGGCCGGTCTGGATCCAATGCTAGTTGCAAATGCATTACGTTGGTTTTGTTGTGACGCGGCTCAAATATAAAGATTTGTTATGGTAATTTTATAACCTAATACACTTAAGATAAAGCTTGATAAAATATTGTGGCCTTTGGAGAGGGTTATAACAAAGCCGTTTTTTTGGTATTTGACATGGTGTACTAGTTTTTTACCCCAGATAACGCATACAATAATAATATGATAATAGATCAATTCAAATGTTGTCATTACATATCATGATGGCCTACTACAAAGTTAAATGCATTTATATTTCATCATCAAAAACTGGTTATAATTATTATTAATATATTACCAGTTTTTTGATGAATGAACAATTGATAATCTCTGTGATCTATAACCGAATTATCACTCAGTTTGTCCGAAACAGTTCATTAGTTTTTCAAAAGATTTTTTTTTTCAATACACTTAAGTTGAAAAGTCAAAATAAAAGAGTATGTTCAGACTCAGAATGGATGTACACGTTGACCTTTAAATAAGCCAGACACATACTTTAAAGTTACTCACACTGCTTTAAAGGCACTTGATCACAGGATAAAAATAGTGATGACTTAAAAAAAGTTACATCACCTGTTGAAATACAGTTATTACAGATATTAAGACTATTAAATTTAAATTCTTTTTTTTTCAGACAATTACATTTCTTTTTTTTTTCAGAACGAAATCAAGCTAGGCAGGATCGTGGAGTTCCTATCAATATATCAAACAAGCCTAAAGGTAAAACTGTATTATTTAACGTTCTAATATTCCTTGTTTCTTAATATTACATTAAACAAATATCCAAATTTCCAATGTGTGACATATATACAGTCAATATTTAAGCATAAACAGGACAATCATGATGTCTATAATTTTTAGCATATACAGTGAATAGAGTCAAAACAACATTCAAAACCAGCAAAACAATTTTTTAAGCAATATTATGTTTCCTGCTGAATTTCTAAAATGGACTTGTCCAGCTTCTATTTTTGGAATGGTCCGTTATCACTCAAATTAGGGATATCATGAAGAAAACTTAAATTTACAGTCAGCTAATACAGTATTGCGCCTGGCCATACTGCACGGATATGCAGACTTGCCTGGGTCTATTATACCGTAGCAGCAATTCAGCTGATCAATTTTGGTTCTAACATGCTTAGAGATTAATTTTAAATATTTTGAAGTCATATGGTAAAAGGTCAATCTAACATCTATTGTCATTTTTATATTAATCTTAAATACAGATTGTTCTTTAAGGTTGACATGTTACCAAGCAAAAAACAACCGTGTCACTTATTTTAGAGCATTTGAGGACAAATAATTGCTTTGATCTTTTGCTAAATAATTCAGTGATACTTTACCTCTCTTGAACACATTTAGTATTTTTTGTAATAGTATCAGGTTTTAAATTCATGAAATTTTAAACTTTGGTTTCTCGACATATCTAAAATATTTCATAAAGATTACATTTTCTTTTTTTTCTGATTTTGTGATGAATTTACTAATTGACAGATCCTAAAAAGATTATACAATCGTCATGTCTTTGGTTACATATAATGACAGACATATATTAAATTATTTTCTAAATTTTGAAATCAATGATCAATTAAAATATTTCCATGACAATCTATCATATGATTCCCTTCTCTCTTATATAATCTATATATAGGTAAAGAAGACCACAAAGAACCGGCTCGCAGCGTAAGAAGAACAAATAGTCAAACTCCTTTAACGTCAGGTGCATCTTCAGCTCAAGAGTGTTATTTCCATCATGCATCATTGAGCCAATTGCCGAATGACTTCCTACTCGTTTATCCGTCCGTATCCGGACAACTGACTCATAGCAACGAAACAGATGGATCCTGGCTTGTAAATGCTATGAAAGATGCAATAAACGAATACCTGGGAACCGTCCCGCCTCCTACCTCACTTGACTTCTTTCATTTAATAACAGCAGCAGCTGGACGTGTTGCTATGATAGAGTCGCATGTTTTAGAAACAGACAACAATGGACAAAAGGTTGGAAGAAATGGTAAAAGAAAACTTGACACCAAAGATGAAGAAAAATCTGGATTTAAAAATGCTGTGTGTTCCCACCATAGACTTTCAGAGCCCTTGGACTTTGACTTGAATCATAAACAAGATAGTTGTATTCCTAAGCCAACTTTTTTTTAAACTAAGTTTAACACAGTCTACTGCCAGTTTGATAAATGATGTTTTTGTACAAAGAAGAATTGTTTTCACCACATATAAAACATATCAAACCAAGCTTTTCCCCTTTAATTGGCATGATTTTAAAGAAAATTTCACTATGAAAGACACATTTTATAGCCTCTGATATATAATGCAAAAGAGGCCCTGAGAGCAATTGTTATTTTTCTGTAATGCCTTCAAAATGCTATTTAAAGAAATTACCTCATAATTATATAAATATATACACACAAAGAATAAATTTATATTACATTGTTATTCTCTGATAACCTTGTCTGAATTAGAAGTCAGGGGAACTTCGAACAGGAGTTATGAATATAAATTAAGAGCCCAGCATTCTATATAATTATGCAAAACAATTAAACATCATTTTCTTGATGATGTAATTAATTACCCATGTATAAAAAGCACAAAATCTTTACAAAATATCTGCAATACATTTCTCAGTCGGCTGGATAGTGAACTGTACATTTTCTAAATTTAAAGTATTAGGGCCACACTGACCTTTTGATTCAAAAAAGAGCAAAGTCATAATTGAAGTTATTGACCATAAACTAACATTAATCCAAAAATTTGATAAAGGTCATTTTGACACTGCCCGGGTGTAGATATTCCAAGGTTTTTGGCTCAAAATCCTTGGAAAAAAACCTCGGAGTATTGGAACGAGAAAATGCAAAACTTTGCTATTAAGAAAACCTTGGAAAAATAGGGAGAGGGTATAAAACCTTGTAAAAAATTTCCGAGGTTTTTTTTAAAATAAACCTCGTAAAAAGTAAGACCTCGGAGTATTGGAACGATTTCCAAGGATTTCAGAATAAAAACCTCGTAAAATAATTTCCGAGGATTTTTTTTAGAAAACCTTGTAAAATGAGTGACCTCGGAGTATTGGAACAATTTCCAAGGATTTTTAAAGTCAGTTTCCGTGGTTTGTTTTCCAAGGTTTTTAAATGAAAACCTCGGAAAGTTTCTCAAAACTGGGAATACTGTAATATTTCCCTGAGGATTCTTACTAAAGCATCAAGATCATTTTCCAAGGTTTACTTGAGCAAAAACCTTGGAAATTTCTAGAATATCCATGGAAAATCAAAAATATAACAACCAATGAAATATTCTGAAAAGAGCAATTATATTGTCCTTTTAAAGAATTAATAAATTTCTTTAATATAACAATACTACAGAGCAAAAAATGATCACATGACTCACTGAAACATTTAATGTCAGAGTGAAGTAAATAGTTATGCACTACAAATGAATATTTAAGTTAGTAGTCTTTAATGGTAAATATTACACTCAATGTTCAGTTATAATTTTTTTGGTACCCGGCAAATTTTTATGTATTCAAATATTAATCTATTGAAGTCCTGTTCACTCTTCATGATTTTAAAGTGTCCCCAAGTTTTTCCCTCACCGTCACAGGGGTCACATGTGGAAAATGCTTGGATACAATTCCTGAAATAAATAAAGTTAATATTTAATAGTTAATAAAGTACAGCCATTGAAAGAAGTTAAAAAAAATACAATTATATAAAATCACTACTGGGCACTTCCCTCTCCATATGGTCAGGCTCAACAACTTCAAACTTGCCTTACAACATTGTATTTTTGACTCTTGAAGCCTGGGGATGGGCTTCTTCCCTCTGAGGGAGCTATCAAGCCCAGGATTAGGGATTACCTGTGGTTATACTCGGGACAGTACAGTATATGTAGGCAATCAGAATTACATCATTTAATTTCTTTTTTATTCATCAATAAAAACAAACTAATACGTTCCTTACGTTTCCATAGACAAAAATATAAGTTGATATATTGTTTTAAAAGATCAGCACTTGTGTATTAAAGGAAATATATCTTTTGAGTGATCCAAAACTACTTTAATGACAAGTTGTTTAGACAGCTATTGTTTAAAATGAAGGCTTTAATATTTTCAAATGAACTTTTCTGTAGTAACTTTAAATGTTTGTTCTATTTGTTTTGAAATAATGAATTTAATTTTTTTCATGTTGATATATTTTTTATTCATCGGTATTAATAAATTTTAGTGTCAAGATTTCAAGAAAAAACTTTGTTAGCAGTGTGACAATTCTGCAATGTTTAGAAAATAAGCAACGTCTTTTACTATTATTTTAGATTATGTCATATGGATGTTCCAACCTAAAGCACTCTAAAAATATTGCAAAAAAATAACGCTTTTCATAAGGTGATTCTGATAGCCTACACTGACTGTATCTGTCTGCTCAAAGGGGCATGAAATGTGTTCATGCAGCAATAAAGCTGAGATTTATCTGATATAACATTTACAGCATTTCAAGTATCAATAAAAAAATCAGTTCCAGAAACCATCATTCATTTAAATTTCAAATTGAAACTTTCAAAACCTAGTTTTAAAACAAAAACATACTTTAGTATATTCCTTGAAGCCTTTCCTGGTCTACAGTTGGCTTCCTTTGTGCCAATGCCAATGACTTTCCAGTATATTCCTCTGCTTTATACTATGATAAGAGACTGGATTGCCATCTTCTTGTAGTTTGGAACACCTGCAAACTTGCTTTCAAGCTGACTCTGTAATTAAACATTTGTAGATTCAAATAATAGATGAAAGATGAAAGTTTATGAATAATGTCATCATAGTTTCATGCATTCATCTTGTTAATACAATCATAGACAAACATAACATTCATACTCATAAAATATCCTCTAAACAATTGTATTTAAACTAGCTTACAAAGGTTAAAAATATAGATCTAAAATAGTTTGTATTTAATACTTATTTGAAGAAAAAAACACAGTTTTTCTGCATAAATGTATCTAAAAGTCATTTACCTGAACCCTTTTACTATTATGTTTCTTTTGTTTATCTTCCTGTCTCAGGTCATTGATCTTTAGGTTCAATTACAACAACCAAACATTTCCTGAATCTTGTCACACTTAGATAAATGTTTTCTTTGAAAATTCCATAATATGCTCCCTAACATTTAGAACAAGATATCTCCAAAATTGCTTAAATAAATCCATGTTTCCACTATTTCCAACTATAACCACTTGACCCATTAATGTCTGAGATTCAAATTTTTCAACAGTATGTCGGATAGGTTTATTATAATGTGAAACAGGGGTGATCCCAAAATATCAAAGCCACCATCATTTTAATTTTACATTTATTGAAGGTACAAATATATCAAATGATAAATAAATGTAAAAGTTGAAAATTTTAATAAGTTCTTGAAAGAGAATCACTGTAACAATGTCATTTTAGACTTATTGTTTTGGAATGTATAAAAACCCAGACTCCCCCTGAATAATTACATGGAACAATCTGGTCTATCCCAGAATGCCCAATGAGAAGATTGATCATGCTTAGATAGAGGAAACCACCTGGGTTGCCATTAGTTTTATCTGATCAGTGTGTTATATTCTGTGTGTGAAATCTTAGTGGATGCAGTATTTATTTATCCTAATTATAAGAAATTAACAAGCATACTGGTTATTATATTTCAGACATTTAATTGTACATAATTATATTTAAAGGACAATTAATAACTATGTATGTTTATTGTACACATAAATTAATGGCAGAGTAAATTGTAATCTGAATGTATGTCACAGATTTTTTTGTAGAATATACTATTTTATATGGCATAAAACATAGATTAAAGATTATATAGCATTCTTATTTCAGTGTTGCTTAAACCCTAAGTTAAGTCTATATATAGAAAGAAACTTTAAGAAAAATACTGATGCATTTGGAAACTAATAGACATAAATACTGATTGTTTCTTTCTGTATTATAGTTTTGCTCTTACACTATTCTTAAAAATGGAGAAGATATCTAGTAACGATAATTATAAATAATAAAAAAAATATGACAATTTTTTTTTTTTAAAGTCTTTCTGATCATCAGTTATTTGAATAGTATTTCTTTTATTATCATTAGATGCAATACATTTATAGCCATTAATAAATGTATTCTATGTCAACAAGGAATTGATTTAAATATTCCATGTTTTCACACTTTAATTTTTTTAATTGATTTTTCCCAAATAAATTGCTTCAGAAATTTAAAGAAAAAATTTATTGAGAAGGTAGTTGGCCATTGACAATGTCCATACTGAAAATTGATTTCCCTGGACCATGCTGTCTTACATGGACTAGCCATGGACAACCGTTTGCTCTGACCATGGATTAAATAAATATCCATGGGCAATCTACAGCCGGGTTGGTAGCTTGGTTTGAGTAAATCTGCCAGCTTTAACTGTTGATCATTGCTTTTGATGCCCTTGTCATTAAGTTAAATCATGATTACCATTATGGCTTAACATTTTCCGAGATGAAATTTAGTAAAGTACAAATTTCCGAGGTCATTTCTAAGCTAAATATTGGCAAAGTGTTTCCAACAAATTTACGTAAATTTTCTAAGTTCTTTTCCGAGCAAAAAAAATGACAAAGTTCTTCATTTCCAAGCTTTTTCCAAGCTGATTTTTGGCAGAGTGTTTAAATTCCGAGATAGTTTCCAAGGTTTTCTTTATTTCCAAGGATTTTATACAAAAACCTTGGATAAAGTTTCCAAGGTTTTAAGAAAAACCTCGGAATTAAAAAAAAAACCTTGTAAAACTGGTTTATTTCCAAGGTTTTTGAAGCAGTTTCCATGGTTTTTTTCACAAACCTCGGAAAATCTACACCCGGGCGACCTTTTACCTAAAGTAAATATGGCAGGTAAAACTAATTTTAATATTGAAGTTTGTTGTTCAATGCACATCTAGCTTAATGGGTTTTTTTTTATGACATAGAGGATATTTGTTTAGTTCAGTGTAAGACCAGAATATATTTCACCGAGTGAGCACAAAAAGGTATATTTCACGAGTGGCGCAGCCACGAGTGAAATATGAACTTTTGGTGTTCACGAACAGTTACTTTTGGTGTTCACAAGGTGAAATATATTTCGATCTAACATTTAACGTAACAAATTTTCTTTTTATTAATTATGAGACATTTTAACCTAGTACTAAATGAAAAGGCGCCAAATAATTATACAATGTGATGTCAATAAGTTCAGGTTTTCAGTACTGTGAATGCTTGTATTTCACTGAAACAACGTTAAACGGGCTCAAATATTTAAAACAGTGAAATTATCAGTTTTTATTTCACTGATATATTTCTATAAACCACAGAAAAGCATGTAATTAACAGCTTTTCATATCATGGATGGTGTCGGATACGGTACTATACAAACCGATAAAAATTTTAAAAAACACTTTTTGTCTGGTTTAAATACGACTTTTTAAAAATACTAACTTAAAACTAAAAATACAAAGGGAAGTGACGTACTTTTAAAACGTAAACGCATATGTTGGCGTAAATTTTTAACGGCCCCTGTTTAAATGAGCGAATTCCCGCAGATGGTTTAGGGGTGACAGAGTTTTTTGTTGCTTTTTTAGTCAGAAATTTAATTAGGCTTAAAAATTGTCCAAGTTGAAAGATGTCCATTTAAGAATTTAGCATGATAAGGGTTATAATAGAGGTTCTAACTGCAAATGATAAAACTAAATCTGCAGTTATATAACCAGCTTCAAATACAACAAATAGTATTTAAACTCAAATCTGCAATTATATAACCATTTTTATATGACAAATTATAAAATTAATCTCAGTTATATAACAATCTATTATATAACATAGTAAAACTAAAATTTACAGTTATTTAACCAACTATATATAACAAATAGTAAAACTCAAATCTGCAGTTATATAACCAACTATATATAACAAATAGTAAAACTCAAATCTACATTTATATAACCATGTTTATATGACAAAAAATAACAGTCTTATCTGCAGTTAGTTATAATAACCAACTATATATAACAAATAGTAAAACTTTAAAAATCTAAATTTATATATTACCATTGACTATATAATTATTATGACAAATAATAAAACTAATCTACAGATATATAACCTACTAGTCATATGACAAATAATAACACTTAACCTACAGTTATATAACCAACTAAATATGACAAATAGTAGATCTCAAATCTGCAGTTATATAACAAACTATAAAATGATGACAAAAAATAAATCTAAAATATGCAGATGATATACAACTATCTAAAACACTGCACAGTAAGCACTATCTAAAACACTGTACAGTAAGCACTATCTAAAACACTGTACAGTAAGCACTATCTAAAACACTGTACAGTAAGCACTATCCAAAACACTGTACAGTAAGCACTATCTAAAACACTGTACAGTAAGCATGATAATCTTTTAAAATCATCTCTAAATAAATAATTTACACTAAATGTATTATCCACTATACATGCTATAAATCTTACTTCTTACTGGTTATTGATTTTATCATTATTTATTCATAATGACTACATTGTTAAAATTCTGTCATGAAGAATTTTTAATAAATCATCTGACCTAAATAATTTCACTGTTTCACAGAAGTAAAATATTAGCACAGTTCCCTGAATAAATTGATATACATGTGCATTCATGTATAATACAAACTGTTAATCTGGAATTAAATGCTCTTCATTCAGATTTAAAAAATATATCAAATAATAAGTGAAGTAAATTGTACATGTATACCGACTACATGTTTGGGCACCTTGCTGAAAAAATTTTATATTAAAAATTGATATTTATTCATTAAAACATTGTAAATTTCATGTAATTTAAATTTTGAAAAAAGTAAAAATAAAGGGGAGAAAACGTGTTTTGTGTAAAAAATGTTAAAAACACTTTTAAAAATTTTAAACCAGGGATCTATGTTAAATTCATTTTTTAACAGTGGTGTAACATTGAAATTTAGTCTTTCAAATTAGGTTAAAAAAAAAACCGGAAATAAGCGTTTTGCTGACTTAACAGTTAAGTAAATTATACATGTTAAACAGTTTAAAGTATTACATTAAATGACGTCAATAGACTGTCTCCTAGACGATTCTTTGAGGCGATATCTATTTTAAGGTATTTGTAAGGTAAAACCCTTTTTATCTTATTTTTAGTATCTGATCTCACCTTTATATTGTATATGATCATAAAATAATGGCGACATTTAGTTGCGGTTACAGTGACAATATAAATCAAGAAGTACATAAACAAGGGTATGCTGTGTTTATTGTAAACATTAACAAGAATGGAGATGGCGGGGGTTTTGAATTTGAGGAACGTAAAGGAGCTCGTGAAGATTTATCTAATTTACAGACTGTCTTTGAAAGTATTGGATTTGAATGGATAAATAACAAATGTTACTGGCATACTAGTTTACCAGTCGGAAGGTGGGATCATCGTAAAGGTTACCGGACTGAGCGAGTTACAGGTAACCACACTGAGCCAGTACCGGATCGGAAGGAATGTTGTATACGCTGCTGGATACAAGCATTAGACCACTCCAGATCGAAGTGTTTCCTGTTGGTGATAAGTTCACACGGACAAGAGTTAACAGGAAAAGAGACAGAAATTATTTTCTCAGATGGCCACAGTGTACCTCTGACTGAAATCTTAGACGCATTAAGTGATAAGAATTGTCCATCTCTGAGAGGAAAACCACGAATCATCATTCTACAGGCTTGCCGATCAAACTTTGAAGATAAAGGTAATTTCGTTTTCATAAAATAATATTCTGAAGTTTAACAGACACTGACACTTAATTGGGTGTCAGAGTCCCTATCACCCAGCTTAAGCCCCCTCCCCCCTTGTAAATTGTCAATTAAAAAAAAACCCATTTCTTCAAGAATAAAAAAAATCTCATTTATCCTCAGGTCTCAAAGAAGTGCTTTTTTTAGACTAATAAATTAATGGTTAAAGGGAATTTATTTTTTAAATTCTTGAGGAAAACTGGTTTAAAAACAAGTAAATGTTTAAAACACTCTGATGCCCCATTATTGGCTAAGATAGTAAAAGTTTTTTATTGAATAGTTCACAGACTAGAACCAGGTGGTGAGGGTCTGACCCGCATTAGAATCTGTGGTTTAAGATAATAAGCTTAATGTATAATAAAATATAAACAACATTGCATAAATTATTATACAGTATTTTTTTGTTTTTAAACCAAAATATATTAGTTCCGGCTTCCATAGTGTCTTAGCAGTACTTAATAAAACCTGTTTGCTGAAGTCTCTTTAGCTAATTGGCATACTTATTAACTTACAATACCATTTGTTTGTTTAGTTTGAAAATCATACAAAATATTGTTAACTATTCAAAAATTTAACAACTTGACATTTAATCATACCCCAGGTATCTTAAGTATTAAAGTAAAAGTAACTGATGTGCTTTAACTCAGTGGGACCAGCAGGTTTAATATTGCTTCTGAATTAACAGAAATTGAATGCTTAATTTCTGTGATGAATGCGTTTATTTAAAAAAAAAAAGAACTTGCAATATTCATGAATTTACCTCTTGTTATGATTTCAGAGAAAGTGACAAAAATGCAAGACACTGGAGTTTATGTTAATGTGGTTCTAGACCAACACCAGGCTGTTAAAGCATCTGGTAATTATAACAATGCTTTAAATTATTTCATTGTCAGTTATTTAAATGACTTTGATGAAAGACAGAAAGAGTCTTTTCTTTAAAATATATGTTTCTCCTTGTTAAAATTGTTATAGTGTTTCTGCAGTCAAAACTAAACTCTGTGGTCATCATCTGACATATTATTTTTTCACTCGTCTTTTATAATTACACAATCTTTTATAGTTTATACGAATTAATTGTAGTTTGATTGTGTAGGAAGCTATAAGCTTATTGAAACACTCTCGGATCCATTCCTGGAACTTACCAGTACAAAGCAATGAGTGTAAAGTTTCTTGCTCATGACAACAACAGTTTGCTGCTGACATGTTTAAGCCTGCGCGGTCTGCAATCCTTAGATCACTAGTATGTCGCATTAAACACTCAGCCACTCTGCTACTCTCACACTATGTTTTGTAAAAATGACATTTTATATTATGTATTTATGTTTATTTGTTAGGTGCCACAGCTTCTAGCAATGTAAGTGACCAGCAAAGTGACCTTGTTGTTGACTACACTTTCCAGCACACAGCTCTACGCAATATGCCGGACAATTTCATGCTAGTTTACCCAGTTGTTTCAGGACAACGCTCGCAGCGGAGTGAAAATTATGGCTCCTGGCTTATTTATGGATTAAAAGAAATGTATAACAAATATTATGTGGGAAAGCCGGTAAACTTTTTTCACCTCCTAACACTAGTCTCTGGATATATTGCACGGGAAAGGGAGACAATTGTGTACAAACATAAAGAAGGGACAAATGAAATTATGCTTGATGAACATGGAAAACAAATCCGTGATGAGGAACAATCGGGCAGGAAAAATGCTGTGAATTCTTTCCATAGGCTTTGTGAACCATTAATTTTTTATCCGAAGACAAAAGAACTTCCTAAAATGGATGAACCTACCCATTTACTTGGAAATATTGATGAACCAAATTTCTTTGGAAAAAAATCTAAGAAAGGCAAAAAGACCTTAGGTCAATTACTGTCTGAAGATAAATGAAATCATTCATAAATATTCAATGAAACATGTTGTCATGATGTTTTATTTATTTGTAACATATTTAAATTAATTTTTTGATAAAAAAATAGCTAAGATTGAAGGAATGGCACGAATCAACTGCCATTTAATACAAATTTTAAAATTGTAAATTTTCAGAATAACTTAATCATATGATAGAAAATATTGTTTACTTCAACTATTAGTAAGACTTCAATTGTTACATAATAATAATTATGAATAAAATGTTTAAAATAACTAATCTTTTGTTATCTAATTTGCATGAATTGTGTATTTAACTTTTCAAGAGCTGTCATCAATAGAGACGATATTGATGTATCATTGATATTTTCTGTCTATCAATAATCAATACAGATTTGAAAAAAAAATTGATAATTTTGATTAATAATTTTAATGTGTATAAATTATGAAAATTACCCAAAACATTATACAAAAGCAGGTGACCATGTCTAACACTAAGCTGTTGTTACATAATGGACGCATTTCATAGCAGTGATGACAAAAAATAGTTTGGAAATATTCATGCAAAGGACATTTATAAACAGGACACAACATCTTTGTATGAACAGAACATGTACTTTACTGAAATATTTAAACAGGTATAAAAGTGAATTATATACAAGAAATACGAGCTAGTATATATTGAAGCTAACAACGGTCATATTGTCATCCGATATCTATATATAGTCAATCATGCTTGCAATGAATCAATGACAGCTATAAATTACTTTCCCCACTCAATCTTGTATATAAAAAGACATTTCAATTCTAGCTACCAAATATTGTATTATTTAAAAGGCCCCTCAGATACCCCAGAAATGCTTTTATTTATTTTATTTTATTTATTTTATTATTAAACTGAGTTTGTACCACTATAAATTAATACAACAAGTAAATCAAGAGAAGGAGAGAACATACGTCAAACATCAGGATGGTTTGTAAACTGGTTTATTCTAGGATCTACCGGTTTCGGTCTTACAAGACCTGCTTCATCAGGATAATATTTCAATGATACATGATTACTGAAGTACTAAAAAAAACGGCTACATAAAGTTTCCTTTTAAAAGGAAAGGCTTGCACAGTTGTGCCTTCATCCCAACATATTTATTTGTTTTTATTTTTGTAAAAACGAATATTTTTGTCAAAACGATTTGAAATCTATTCTCTATTGTATAAAACTAATAAAGAAAATAATCAATCGTAAAAATACTAACGTGAAGATCTATCATACTGAAAGGAAACAAGTGTGCACATTTCATTTAATTAATAAGCATGTTCCCAGATACGATGCGCTATCTATAAATCATCACGTGGTAAGGTTAATGATATGCATGGGCTATTTTTAGATTACCACACCAAGTTCAGTAGATCTAAATATAACTCGATCATGCACTGTGTGATTTGGACCACCCTTTGAAGACGGAATACTACTACAGTCAACATCCTCTATTGTGTAAAACTAATACAGACAAAAAACAATTATAAAAGAAACTAACTTTTGCGTCTTGAAAAAGAATTGAAACGGAACAATTTCGTTTATAATTTATTACGGTTTAAATCAATAAATCAAGTAAAAATACGAATCCTATTTATATAAACAAACTGGGATTACCGAAGTAACTAAAATAGCTTAGATTTCCGTAATATTACTTCGTCTGATTCCGCAGTATGACGGAATCGCCCGAATTGTCACGATTGCAATTGGAAGTACATCGGCTATTATCATTAATCCGAAGAGTGACGGAAAAGGCCGAAAAGTTGCGATTGGCACGATTTCAGCTGGTTTCCCGTTCAATCATGCACTTATAAATGTAAGCAGAAAACCACCTAACCGGAACAGGTTTTCCATATGAAATGGCTTGCAGCTGTGGCTGCAAGCCAAAAATGTTACTATATAACAATAATAACCAATAATGTTACTATAAATAGACATTAAGTTAGTTTTTTTCTGGGCAAGATGCCAAGTTATTGTCCATTTAAAATGTTTCAAATGTAATGGTTAACCACAGATCCTGTCTATGCCAATGACCATTTTATGGCATGGTGGAATGTTTATATTCACCTTAAATGATTGTTTTGGATAAATGTAATATTAACTTCTAAATCTAAGGTTGATTACAGGTACTGAAGAAAAATTATAGTTGGTTTCAGTATTAATGAACTAAACTTCTTAATTTTTTGTGAGTAAATATGTAGATATTAGTTGAAATTTATTTCTGTAGTTGTTTCCAGTATGTATAATTTTGTAACAAATGTTATAAGTCTTAAAATCTGGTGTGGTATTTACCTGCTGGTTCTTTCAATCTAAAATTATAATTAGTTTTGAAGATTTATAGTTAGTTCAAAATATTGTTAATCTAATTAAATAGTTGTTTATCTTTTGAGAAATTGTTCAGGTATAATGTAACATGTTGTTTCCTGGGTCAATTTTAATAATGTGAACTATTTAGGGCCACTATAAATTAAGGTTACCCCCCTTAAAGTGTATTGGTCTAAAACGGGCACATTTTCCATAAATATTACAAAATTAATATTGATAAAAACAGGTACGTATGTTAATATACGTACCTGATAAAAACAATAGACATATACACATGTATATCATTTGAATATTCTTTTTTTATTATTTTTTTTAAAAAATGGGAATAAACAAAAAATGTTGTTTGGGTTCTGAAGGGGCTTAAGTATGAACATTTACATAATGAATAATAATATTTTGTTCTAGAACAGTTCATTTTCTGCTATAATATTGTAGATATGTAATATCAGATCATTTATCTCACACTTACCAACAATAACCATAAATAATTCTTTCTTGCTAAATGTTATCATGTATTTTTTGTTTGTTTGTTTCATTTTACGCTTTTTCCCAACAGTATTTCAGTCATATAGGCGGGTAGTTTCCTAACCATCGTTCCTGGAGAGTTACACCAGTACTAGACTACCTTCCTCCATGCTAAACTACCAAAGCATCTCCCGGGGATCGAACCCACGCCAGAGAGGTAACTGGATTAGAAGGCATCGACTCAGTAACCCCTCGACCACGGAGGCGGTACTTGTTATCATGTACGATTCTTATAATAATCTAATGTGATGTCATATGGTTTTATTTCGACCTGTCATCCTGGAAATGAATATCACAAGGTTGCAATATTCTCTAGGGGCAAGTAATCTATATAATGTTCTAGTTCTCTCCCCTGATAAAAAAAAATCAATGATGAATGGCTCTGGGAGTAATAGTGCACAGCGGTGAAAAATTACATTAAAATGTTGGTTTGGGTGTTATTTCAGTTATCTGGTTGCTAATATGAACTATTACCCTGAGAGTCTGACACAGTCATGTTATTTTTATACTATCAATATAAATAAGTTACAGAATTACTGACCTTTCATCATTATACATGTATATATGGACAAGTTCATTTTCAATCACATTTCAGTCCTGGTACAGACCCCTTGTGTGCAATGCCGATTTGGCATATTATTTCAGGAACAAACAGACACCTTTTTAGAAAAACTTTCCTGGCAATTTTCCAAAATTTAATCTATTGTTGAAGAAACTTTTTTCCAATTTTGTTACTAATTTTAACCGTGACTTACCACACAATTGTTAAACTTTATTAAGATTACTTCTGTACAAATTATCCTGTTGAACTTAAAAAAACCAGACGGGTTTGAAACCAGAAGATCTTAATTAAAATATTGTCCATATTATTTAGGTGTTGATGTGTGGTTTCTTTGTATTCTTCAGTTTTGACAAATGATCAACAATTACTGATTTGGAAAACAAGAGCGATCAGTAATCACATGTGTCGCCTCATGATGGCCAATTTCATGTTGGGACAATTTTGTGACAGATGGACAGACAGACGGACAGTGCACAACTAGACTAACCACTTTGTACTGATCATTCCTGTAAAGTTTGGATAAAATTGCACCAGTAGTTTATGAGGAGTAGTCCGGACAAGCTTTTGCGTATCTGGCAACACACAGAAAAAAACACCTTTTTATCAAAGGGCCATAACTCGGCCAAAAATCATTCAACCGGAAAACCCGTGCAATATGCGCAAGGACTTGAGCTACAGATCAATCCTGTAAAGTTTCATTGAAATTGCATAAGTGGTATAAGAGAAGTAGTCTGGACAAACTTTAAAAATAAAAATTATTAAAGGGCCATAACTCAAACAAAAATCATTGAACCGGAAAATGCTGACAATATGCACAACTAGACTTGGTACTGATCATTCCTGTAAAGTTTGGATGAAATTGCACCAGTAGTTTATGAGGAGTAGTCCGGACAAGCTTTTGTGTATCTGGCAACACACAGAAAAAGAAACCTTTTTATCAAAGGGCCATAACTCGGCCAAAAATCATTCAACCGGAAAACCCGTGCAATATGCGCAAGGACTTGAGCTACAGATCAATCCTGTAAAGTTTCATTGAAATTGCATAAGTGGTATAAGAGAAGTAGTCTGGACAAACTTTAAAAATAAAAATTATTAAAGGGCCATAACTCAAACAAAAATCATTGAACCGGAAAATGCTGACAATATGCACAACTAGACTTGGTACTGATCATTCCTGTAAAGTTTGGATGAAATTGCACCAGTAGTTTATGAGGAGTAGTCCGGACAAGTTTTGTGACGGACGGACGGACAGACGGACAGACAGACGGACGGACAGACGGACAGACAGACGACGGAGAAGTGATCCCTATATGTCGCCACTACTCTGTAGAGGCGACACAAAAATCGACAATTTTGACTTCATGTCTAGAAATTATAAATATTCACCAAAACTATTTACAAATGCAGATTCCCAGTTTAAAAACTTTTGGCCCATTTCAGTTGTCACATGTATGATTTATTATACATACATATCATAATTGTAAGAAAAGAATATTTATTTAACTGAAATCATTTAAACAGGTTTGAAAGTGAGTTATAGACAAGTAATTATTGATTATTAAGTGGCGGTATGGCCGAGTGGTTAACACGTCGGACTAGTAATCTAATGATTGCTAGCCACATGGGTTCAAACCCTGTCAGGGGCAAGTCATTGTTTCCTTGAGCAAGAAACTTTACACTCATTGCTCAATACTGGTTGGTTCCAGGAACGGATTCGGAAGTGTGTCTATCAGCTTATAGCTTCCTATACAAACAAACTAAAATAAATTCTGTATGAACCAATTATTGTTATAATGGACTGTTACTACCATTGATTATTGCGATCCGATA